TTAGCTCAGTGGTTTCGCCACCTGCTGCACAAGCGGAAGGACCTGAGTTCAATCCCCGGTACCACCCCCCCCCAAAACCCCATGCAGACAAGGCCTTTATCCTCTTCAAACTAGGACCCCTTCTCCTACAAGGACAGTGAGAAGGTAGAGGATGACCAAGAACCCCTCCTTGCCACCCACCCCATGGCCAGCCCAAGACTGACAGGGACAGCTGCCTGGATGCCCTGCATGGCCTCAGGGGCACCCTGCCGCAGACCTCCGAGCTGGTGAGGTCAGAAGGTACCAGGGACAGTCACATTCACCCTGACAAGTGCACATGGCCTCCAAGGGAGATGAAAACCCAACTCACAGAGGGGAAGACAGGACAAATGGACTTCAGGTTGCCTCAGGGGAGGCCTTGAGCTATAGTGGACCGGGCAGGGCTAGAGGGACCCGTAGGTGGCCACTGCCACCTCTTTGGGAGCCTTGCAGGTGTCCTGTAGCTGATTCCCAGATTCTGTCTGTGGGCAAGGGTGGATCCAAGGACCTCCCTGGTATCGATGTGACTCAGATCCAGTCCCTCAGCTTCAACACCTGGGCTTTGACCTGACTCCTGAGAAGGTTCAGATGCCCCTGGCTCTGCCACCAGGTTCCACTCTGTCTTATGCTTTCCTACTTGAGTCTCAGTCCTAGCCTGAGACTGCTGGGTCCCTTCCTGGGTGGCTGGCCCTGGCTCTGCCCTCCTGGGTTTGAGGACTTGGTTGTGGCCTCCATGCTGCCACCCAACACGAGGCTGCCTGTGTCGCTGGCCAAAGCTCCTTAGGTTCCCCCGCTCCAGGCCTGGAACTCAGTGTTCAGCCCTTCTGAGGTGGTCCTGCCATGGTCAGCCTTCCTGAAGGCAAGAAGAAGTAGTACTTGCTCTCAAGATGCACCTAACTACTCTGACCTGGGAATCCCAGGTGAGGGCAGCCAGATGCTGGGAACCTGCACTCCAGGCAGGAGCCGAGTGCTCAGCCTGCAGCCTGGGACAGACAACACATACCTCCAGGGTGGGAACCCAGAGGAGCCTGGGGCCCAGGAGCCTGGCTGTGGTGAGCACCCTGCTGCCAACACCCCACCCCAGCCCAGCAGGGCCTATTTCGAGAAGGCCTCTGTGGTTACCCCTCAGAATGACAAGCCTCATCTTACTTGAGGGTGCAGCTGGGAGAGGCCTAGGTCCTGCTCCTCAACCCTGTGCAGCATCTATGGGGCAGGAGCTGTGACTGAGCCTGGGGCCTCATGACCTCTGGGGCAGATGTTGTTACCCCATTCTATGGGAGGGAGCAGAGGTGGAGGCCCCTGCTTGGGTTCCACAGCAGGGAAGGAGGGATGGTGTCGGGTCTGCAGATTCCAGCAATGCCGGCTGTCGCTGGTGCCTGGGGAGCAGGGCTTCTCCCCTAGGCCATCCCTCATACTTAACTGGCCGGACCTCCCAGCTCCAGCACCCAAGGACAGTGTTCTGGAGTCTCCCTGCTGCCAAAAGCAGCTCAGGCCTAGAAGTCTCTGTCTGTCCTGCCAGCAGTGCCCTCTCCCTTCTCTGTCTGTACTGAGGCACCTGGACTCTACTTACCTCTGGTGCTTTGTTGCTGCCGCGGGGATGCCAAGGCGGGAGTGTTGGGTGGCTCCATCACCACTCCTGAGCTTAGTCCTGATCCAGGAATTATAGGCAGCAGGGTGTCCTGGGTGTCCCTGTGGCTGGCCAGCTAAGCCTTGAGCCCCTGGGATCTGTCCAGGGCTGAGGAAACCTGGCCTGAAGGGGTCAAGGGAGCTTATGTTACTGACCACAAGGAGCCTAGGGAGACAGGTGTGCCCCCTCCTGCAGTCCCAAGTCCACTGGCTGTCACTGCAGCTCTGGTCCTCACCTCTTCCTGTGCTGGGCTCCACCTCAACCTTCCTTCCTGTCTGATTCAAAAGCCAACAGTCTCATGACAAATCAGTAAGCTGGGGCTGCCCTGGGCTCACATCTCTGGCTTTGTCACCACCCCGTAAGTCTAAGAGGGAAGGCACGTTGACATCTTGATTGTGGGACCAAGCGTCCTTGCAGGCCTGATGTTCAGCAGAAAGTGGTTCAGTGCCAAAGCTGTGGACAAGTCACTCTCTACCCTCCAAAAAGGGAGACAGACTCATCAACTGACAGTCACTGTTAGGCAGGTGGTCAGGAATCCAAGTGGGTGGTGAGAAAAGCGAGGCTGCCCCCTACTTCCTGGCTCTCTGACCTCCTGGCCCTCCCCCTCCCTTCTCTAACCCTCTTGCTGCCCTTTTCTGTCACTCACAGGCACCTGGCCCAGCTGCATCCCACAGTGTCTTCCTGTGAGTCAAGAGGCCCCTGAGGGCAGGCCTCCTGTGCCCTGAAGCAGCAGAATGTGGCTTTTCATGACAGGAAGTCAAGTGTGGCCCTTGAAGGTGGACCAGCACCTGGTCCGCACTGATAGGACACAGCCCAGAGTGAACACATGAGAAAAGTTACAGTAAAGGAAATGTACCAAACATCTTCCAGTAACAGGGAGCAAGTCATTTAATATGGAGCCACTGAGGGAAGCAGTGACAAAGTGGGAGCCAAGTGATGGGAGCTCTGGAGTCTGAATTTTCCTCAGCAACCAAGTGGGAGCCAGCAATGGCTATAGACCAGGAGACTAACGAGTTCAGATGCACACCGCAGCTTGTGTCTAAGAATGTGGGAGAGCATGTGTGCCTGTCATTCCTTCCTCCAGCACAATGAAGGGGAGAGACCTGAGGTGGATGGATGGGAAATGCTACTTTGTGATGCCCTCTGTCTGCCTCCCCTTTCCCCTCACCTTCCAGGGATGCTTTCTGAGCACTCAAAACAAGCCAGGTGCTGGAGGGCACTATAGGGGCCCCTTGAGGAACCTGATGAGGCTCCAGACAGGCAGAATGCAGAACTGGTGGCTGCAGCCCAGCCATAGGGTATAGCGCAGGCCCCTGAAACCAGGCCACTCACAGGATATTGGAAACCACAAGAGCCTGGTAGGTCTGTCACATATAAGGAGGCAGAGAGGCTCACTCTACCTCCGTCAGGGTCCCTGTGGATGGATACTGAGCAGGAGAATGAAAAGCCTTCTCTGCAGGGATCCTGGGGACCATCCTGGTACCCCCTCCCACCTTCCCAGGAATATCTGCCCTCCCACATAGGGTTTCCTGGCTCCTGGCAGGTTGGTGGTGTGGGTGGGGAGGGGGCTCTAGTGCTTTTGCTCTGGACTTCCATCCACCCAGAGTGGGCTCAGCAGGCCAAGTAGTGGCCTCAGCCCCTCCTGACGACTCAACAGCATAAGGCTTCTTGCTGGAGCGCCAAGCTCCCCTTCCTTCTCGGCGAGCCCTTGCCCAGTCCAGCAGCTCCTTGCCCGGGTGAGCCCGGGCCATGGCTGGGGCTGTTGCCACAGGAAGTAGGCAAGCCTGGAAGTCTAGTCACATGCAACAAAGTGCAGGTGATATGGTTGGACCCAGTGAGCATTCTGCTGCAGACTCAGGGCTTTCTTCTTGTGTGATTCCCCCTCGAAGGCAGGAAGCTTCTGGAAGAGAGCACCCTGCTGCCTTGCCCAAGGGGTGGGCCCTTTGCCCACAGGAAAACCAGCTGTGCCGTGTCATTTTCCTTTTCAAGCAAGTGCCTGAACCTAATACTGCATCTCCGAGTTCCATGTAATTTTTGTGAAAGGGGTGAAGCTTTTGGCTTGGAGAGGGCCACATCTCTGATAATGGCTGTTCCTTTACTGCAATGGCTCATTTTAACTTCTTTTCCCCTCTGGAAACAGCAGCTGCTTCGCTCATTATTTGAGGACAATGAAATATTGCTTCACACACAGGTTCTGGGTCCAGAGCTCTGTCCCTTGCTGGGCACAGCACATGTTCATTCCTGTTGGCCCCAGGAAGCCCCAGGGAGCTGAGCAGACCCAGTTCAGTAAGGTCAGGACAAGGCACAGATTTAGCCACCAGGCCCTTGTCTCCTGTTTTTGGCACTTCAAAAGCTCTTAATCTGGCTCAACTATTCTAACCCCTTTCCCCTGATGTGGACAGCCTGAGGTTGATAACTTCTGGGTCACTGACCCCTTTCAAGGATCGCGACCCCGCCACTCCTACCCCAGGGCACACAACATACACATCCAGGCCACATATCCTGCAGAGCTGATCTGAGATTCCGAGACTCCTGTCTTGATGACTTTGTCTTGTGTCCCTCAGCAATGTATTCTAGGGAGTAGGATCAACCCTTTCCTAGAAGAAAAGTGTGTTGTTGTTTTTTTTGCAGTACTGGGGATTGAACCCACAACTTCCACAATGAGCTACATCCCCAGCCTTTTTGTTATTTGGAGACAAGGTCTCACTAAACTGCCCAGACTGGACTCAAACTAGCAATCCCCCTGCCGCAGGCTCCCAAAGTGCTGGGATTACAGGTGTGCACCACCATACCTGGCTATACCTTTTAAAACAAGCCTAAATCCATTTTCGGCTCAAAGCTGATTGCAAATTCTTGGCTTGTGTCTAATCTGCTTTGCTAGGCAACATGAGCCAGGACTGGGTCTTTTCTATCTGGTTAAGACCAACACAAACACTACAAATTCAAGAAGGTCCACTTTCACCTCCTTCCGTGCTGTTCACCCTGAAGACCCAGGTCACAAATCTCTCTTCCAGGAAGCTGTCCACATTGCCACTCTTCAGCCACTAAGCCCCAACTCCTAGGTGAGGCAAGAAACAGGCCAGTATCTGTCTCCTCTACTAGATGGACAGGAAGCCCCAAGGCAGCTTGTGAATGATCTCTCCATACGTGCTGCTCATGGCAAGGGCAGCACTTTGCCCTCACCCTGTAAACAGACAGGTTGACAGTGGGCCCAGCTGAGGCCCATCATGGATTGTAACAGCCCTTAGCAAAGTTGGGGCTGTGGACCAGGCCTCACTGTGAGCAGCAGGTGCTGGTGCTATGCTGTGAGGGCCCCAGCGTGGGTGAAGGCAGAACAGATGCATGGATGTGAAAATATATCAACACCTGCATCTTTTATCTAGGAACCAAAAGGAAGTAGGGAGATAAAGACAGGCACAAAGAAGGCTGGGGACATTGTGCAGGCAGTGGAGTCTCAGGCTCCTGCCTATCCTTGTGGCTTGTCTGGAGTATAGCATCTAGGTTTTTACAAAGCCTTTTCTGTTTTTATTGCACATCATATAAAAACAACTGTGCTGTATTTAAGACAGACAAAGTCATTCACAGGATATGGAGGCCCACTGTGTGCACCACAGTGCTGGAGAGGGCTTCAACGAAGGATGGGACCTGGTAACAAAACACATGCTTGTTCTGGTGGCCGCAGAGTTGTGCTGGGGCTTTCTGCACTGTCCTATTTAGAGATGGCTGGTGACGATGACAAATGTCTAGCCAGGATAGTTGAGCCAGGAGCTGCACCTGGAGTGTGGCAGTACGGAAGACTGTGGTCACCTGGTCTGCTGGTAGTGGCTGAGGCTGGTCTGTGTGCTGAGAAGGAAGGGTGCCTGGCTGGGGTAAGATGGACCTGACGTTCATCTCAGAACACACTCATAGGGCAACTGTACCTGGGCCTAATGGAGAGACAGTGGCAGATGGGGCAGAATCCAGCCTTGTGCTGGCTAGCTGGTGGCCCCGTGCCCCTCAGGAACTCATGGATAGGGCCCTGCTAGGAGAGTCTGTGGCACTAACAGAGGGGAGGGAAATGCTATACATACAGTGGGTGATATGCTTCAGTTGCCACACCAGAAGGTGGCCAGAGGAGGGAGGGGGTTGGGGCCATCATTGTCCTGAGGCCCCAGAATGCCTGTGGAAGGCTGTCTTGTGCTGGGTGCCAGGCCTCCCTGCATATGGCCAGTGGGGTAAGGGGTGCTGGATGTAGATACCCACAGGCTGCTGGAGGGGCAGGGCTGTCAATCCCGCTCTCCTTTCTTCCTGCCCCTCTGCTGTCCCTTCTGCTTGAGCTTCTCCTTCCGGGCTGTGGCAGTGGTGAAAGTGATGCAGAGGGCATCCAGGGTGTCCAGCAGCTTGCCCATGGGCACACGAATGCCATTTTGCTTCAGCTCAGCCTGCAGTTCAGCCAGCTCAAGCGGCTGGTACATGAGGACCTTGTAGAACAGCTCTGGCTTGGAGCGGATGTAACGTCTCACAGCTTCCTCCATGTCTGGTGCCTGGCTGGCTGCCTGGGATGCACTGACCCCTGCACCCTCATCCTCCTCATCTTCAAGTGCAGACTGCAAGGTGGCTCCAAACTCACAAGAGGAACTGAAAAGAACAGACATTTGTGACACCTTTTCTCTCCAGCCCAAGACCAGCAGGCCCTTGGAGGAAAGGAGTGACTCATGGCTCTGCAGGGCCTGGTATATAGCAGGGCCAACCACCCAGGGAGGCAGGATGCTCCTGACGGTGCCCCACTCTGTAGCTGGGCCAGCCTGGACAGGGTTCCCCTTAGCCAGAAAGTATAGGCATGGGAGGAAGGAAGACAGATTCTGAAGGCCTGCTGGGGGCTCAGGGAACGGCCTTTTAAACTGAGTGGGCTTCCTGCAGTTTGAGCCCAGGAGTGGGCTTCAAAACATTGGTCATTAAGCCTCCCTGATGCACATTCTCAGACCCACTGGTCAGAGGTCACACAATGCCACTGATGCCACTGCTTCCATCTGGTTACCTTTGTGAGCTAAAGGAGCTGTCACTGCTGTCCACAGAGGTGGCCATAGATTTCTGGGAGGCTGAGAGCTGAGTGTCAACATCAGGGCCTGGAGGTGGCTTCTCAGCTTGTGGCCTGCTCTGGTGTGGGATGTTTTGGCTGGGCTGCTTCTGCTGATGTTGAGGTTCCTTGTATTGTTGGGTCTTGCAGCTCTCAGTGGCTTCAAGCGGGATGCAGTCTCCCACCCTGGAAGGGTTATAGGCCTCAGTGGGGAGGGTCTGGTTGCAAGGCATCTCCGGCGGCCCCTGTGAGGACTGAATCTCCTCCTCAGAGTCTGACTCCAGGGTCTGGTGAGTGTAATGGAAAATCTCCTTCAGTTTCAGAACCATCTGGCGTTTGGGCAGAGGACGGACTCCAAACCTGCCAGGGACACAGATGAAATGTGGGTCCATCAGTGTGACCCATCTACATACTCTGTGCTGTTTCCACGTTATTGAGGACCAAGAGATGTAAGGAATGGCTTTGTGGGATCCAAACCATAGATGTTCAACTTTTATGAGCACTCAGAGGTTAGTATCTGTCCTATGTGCCACTTAAGCTTATACAAAAGAATATTCCAAAAGAGATGTTCCCAGTGTTTTGTAAGATGGTGGGAGCAGTAACTTCCCCAGGTACCCAAGCTGAACGGCAGTATTCATTAGGATGTGACAGCTTTTACATTCTTTTAAAAATGAGGTCTCCTTACTCAGACTGTATGGATGGGGTCCCACTTCCAACAACAGGGGTATGGAAACTTATCACCCAATGCATAACCCCGAAAAGGCTCATTTGTTGACTTCTAATGAGCCTCAGGAATGTGGGAACAGTATGTGGAGAAGCCAGGAGTTCACCCCACTACCCAGCAGCCACACACACCCTGGAGAGCAGACTGCAGGACTTTCCTCCCCAGCCAGCACCCTGCAGCCACCAGACCTGAAGGGCCACATGCTGGATCCTTCGGTGCCCAGACTTGCTGAGCCTGGTTATGCAAAGGAAGGAAAAGACCATTTATGAGCAAGCCTAGAAAAATAGCACCAACCTGTCCAGTTCTTTCTTTAGCACTGGAGTCTCCATGATGGAATACCTTGGCATTGGAGATATGGGCACTTTGGGGGGCAAATTTTTCTTCCGATTAGCACCTTCTGGGTAAAACAGAGGAAGTACATAGATCATCATGAGAGAGGTGGATATGCTACTACTTCTGGTCCTGGATGTGTCACCAAGAAAAATACAGCTCTGCCTGACAAGAGCAGTGATGCCCCCTTCATAGTTTGGAGTTGTGTCTTCTGTTGGAAAGTACACAGGGCATATACCAAAGACTGTGCCTTGCACAACACTAATGCTGGGTGAATGGTTCTTGGGACTGCTCAACCCAACTGCCCAGCACAGGACTAAACATAAATACATGTCAAAATGTCTTGATACACAGTGACAGTGTCAGACAATGGGAAACACTGACCCCTTCTAGGAGGCTTAGACATCTCTACTTCATAATTCAACAGTAAAAAGATAACCCATGTAAAAATGGGAAAGAATCTATCAGGTTTCTTCGAAGACACTCAGATGGCCCATAAGCACATGAAAAGATGCTCAGCATCATGAGCCATCAAAGATATGCAAATAAAAATCTCAGCCACTTCACCTCCACTAGGATGAAAATAGGAAGTGTTGGCGAGGATGGGGGGATCCTCACACTGCTGGCAGGATGCAACTTTGGAAAACAGGCTGGCAGTTCCTCAAAAGGCTAACCAAGTTACCATATCACCTGCAATACTACTTCTAAGTTTATACACAAGAAAAGTGAAAATTTATGTCCATACAAAAACTTTTATGTGAATGTTCACAAGCAGCATTATTCATAACCAAAAAGTGGAAACAACTCAAATGTTCACTGATGGATGAATGGGTAAGTAAAGTGCTGTACGCTGTGTATCATCAGGACAGTGTCCAAACACAAAAAGGAATGAAGCACAGACTCATACTCCAACATGGGTAAACCCTGAAAACCTGATACTGAGGAAAGAAGCCAGGCCCAAAAAAGCACGTATTATATGATCCCATTTTTGTGAAATGTTCAGAATAGGCAAATCCACAAGGACAAAAAGTAGATGAACAGATGCCAGGGGCTGGTGACTGCTAATGGGTATGGGATTTTGTTTCAGGTGATAAAAACATCTGGAATTAGACAATGATGACAGATGTACAGCAGTGTAAATATACTAACCATTCAATTGCATACTTTTAAAAGGACAGTTATGACATATGAATTATATCTCAATAAAGCTGTTACTTTAAAAAAAAATCAAGTCTTTTTTTTCTGGTACCGGGGATTGAACCCAGGGTTCAGTCTGATCTACTGATCTATATCCCCAGCCCCCCTCCCTTTTTTTTAATCGTCTGAGACAGGGTCTTACTAAGTTGTTAAGTTGCTCAGGCTGGGCTTGAACTTGTGGTACTCCTGCCTCAGCTGCTCAGAGTACTGAGATTACAGGTGTGTACTGCCACACCAGACTAAAATCAGTCTTTTAAAGACAAATGGGACAAATGAGGAGCACAGACTTTTGTTTTATGACCATGGATCCCTCTGAGACCTCAATGAAATCTAAGCTCTGTCTCCTGTTTCAGAGTCCATCTTAAAGGCCACCTGAGATTCAGACCAAGGTGCCCCAGTCTAAAGTCTTCTGCAGCAGTTTTTATAGCCCTGCCTGGGAACTGGTAAGAAATGCAAATTCTGGGTCACATGGGGCCCCTGAAGCAGAACCTCTCATGTGGGGCAGGGCGGGCACATGTTTTTTTTTGGTACCGGGGATTGAACTCAGGTCCTTGCGCTTGCACAGCAGGCAGCCAAACCACTGAGCTAAATCCCCGGCCCCAAGCACATGTTTTAAGAAACTCTCTGGGTGACTCTGAAGCCCCTGAAGGCTGAGTGCTGTCAGTGGCCTAATTCATCTAAGATTTCTAGGGCTGGGGATTTAGCTCAGTGGTTTCGCTGCCTGCTGCACAAGTGCAAGGACCTGAGTTTGATCCCCGGTACCAAAAAAACAAAAAACAAACAAAAAAATAATAAGATTTCAAGAGGTCAGGAAGCACCAGGTTTTAGTCACTCTCACCCTCAGTGCTGCTTTCTGTCTTCATCATGGGGGGCAGCTGGCCCTGCTCCTCCTCCCTGAAAGGGCATGGCCCATGAGAGTGGTTTTGAGTGAGCCAGGCTTCCTGAAATAAGCTGGAAGTGGCATTCTTTCCCCCAGGGGATGAGGAAGGACAAGGGCCCACAGCCTCCCACTTTCTCCATTTGTGAGGGTTCTTGTTTTGGTGCTAAGGATCAAACTCAGCGCATGCTAAGCACATGTTCCACCACTGAGCTACACCACAGTCTGTTTTGCTTTTTGTTAGGTGAAATTCACAGAAAATGTGTCACAATGTTGGTCAACCACCACCTCTAACTGGTTCCAGAACTTTTTTGTTGTTTTTGTTTTGTTTTGTTTTTGGTACCAGGGATCGAACTCAGGACCTTGCGATTTTGAGGCAGGCTTGGTGCCACTGAGCTAAGTCCCCCCCCCCTTTTTGAGACAGGGTCTTGCTTTGTAGCTCAGGGTGGCTTTGAACTCACAGTAATCCTCCTGCCTCAGCCTCCAAAGTGCTAGGATTACAGGCAGGGTCCACCATGGTTCCAGAACATTTCTATCACCCCAAAGGAGACCTGCACCCCATAAGCAGTCACTCCCATCCCCTCCCCTCAGCCCCAGGCAACTCCTAAGCCTCTGTTCCATCACTCTGGATTCAGTATTTCATAGAAACTAAATCATGTAATAGGTGACCTTTTGTCTGGCTTATTCCTAGCACAGTGTTTTCAAGGGTCACCCATGTTGTAGCAGGTCTCAGTATTTCATTCCTTCCATGGCCAAATACTATTCCCCACATGGATAGACCACATTCTGTTGACCCATCTGCTGACAAGACACCTGGGCTGCTTCCACCTTCCAGCTATTGTGACTAGTGCTGCTATGAACATGCACCATTAAGGATCTGTTTTGGTCCGTTTTCAATTTTTTTGGATATGTGAGCATGGAGTTGCTGGGTCCTATGGCAATTCTACGTTCAACTTTTTTTGTGGTGTTGGGGATGGAACCCAGGATCTCAAGTACACTAGGCAAGTACTTTACTACTGGGCCACACCCCTAGCCCTGATGTTTTAACTTTTTGAGGAACCACACTTGCCTCCATCTTAAGGTGCAAATGAGACACTTACTGCTTAGATTTGCCACCTCAGGAGGTGGTAGCCCAGAGTTTGGTAGGGGGGCCACCAATATGTACTTTTATCAAGTGCCCAGGGGAGTACTGGTTAGGATGCAGCCAGTGGGGGAAGCACTTACAGAGTGACTGGCATATGCTTGATGCCAGGTGGTCTCCCTCCCTCCATGAGGAAAGGGGTCTGCAAGGTAATGGCAGAGTCTGGCCAGGTGAGCCAGCCCTTCATATCACCAGGCTCTCCATGCCCTGTCGGATGTAGACAAGACCCCTTCTGACCCTAATGGCCACTTACTTGGTATCTCTGGCCCTTCTGATTTCTGAGCTCGGAAGGAATGCAGGGTCTGGGCTGCAGGAGGAGCCTCTGGGGACTTCTGCCCTTCCCCGTTCCAGTCGTCCCATAAGGCTGGATTCAGAAAGCTCAGCCTGCTGGCTGCTGGGGAGCCGGCCCCTGAGGACTGCTCTAGAGATGCTCTTCGGGCCATGCCACTTGCTCGGATGGGGGTGCTGCCCAGGAGTCCAGGGGAGAGACAGTCACCACTGTCCACAGGCTCCTGGGCCTGACTGCTGGGACTGCTGGTGTTCAGGGGGCCAGTGCGCTCGAGGTTCAGGTGGTCAATTGGTATTGGCGAGAGGGGCTCAACATTCCAACAGTCATCCACAGGGATTGGGGGGTCACTATCCAGCAGGGGGCTTCTGTTTACTTGATGAGAAGCTACCTCTGGCTCATCTTCACTGTCCCCAACTTCCACCACTTCACTCACTTCTGCCTGATTTGGTGAGAGTTTCTGGACTGGCCCAGTGAAATCAGGGAGGCCTCCTGCCATGGGCCATGAGACCCTTGGGGAAGAGAGCTTGAGGAGCCTGGATTGGGAACGGGAAGGGCTCCTGTGGACCTGCCTTCCACTCGAAGAAGTTCCTGGAGGCATGGGTGACATTGGGGGTGTGATGACTGAGAACTTCTGTGTGGCCTCCAACACTGTGTTTTCTGGGGTGGCCCTGGATGAGGGCCGAGCCATCTTATCTCCTGGAGGCCTGGTCCTGAGGCTTGTGATCTGGGTCTGTGATGAGCAGTCACGGCTCCTGCTGGCTACTGGGGTAGCGGGCACCAGCCAGGAGGCATCTGTGGTACTGTCCTCATTGAGGCTGCTCTCACGGTCACAGATTAACCAGGAGGCCCATGTGCCAGCCACAACACCCTGATTCTCCAACTGTCCCTCCACACTCTTGACCTGCAGCTCACCCCCTCTCCTTGGGGGGCTCTGAGAATGCTCTTGATCTGCATCGACATCAATGACTGAAAATAGTTCAGAGGACTTATGGCTGACGTCTAGAACACTCCTTTCTTCTGAGGGACCATTAGAAACCAACTTTGTTTTGGTCTGTTCTAGCTCCAACTCTTCATCTGAATCCAGTAAAAGGATGATCTCGTTCTCTCTGCTCATGTGGGAGGGAGGATCCTGGGACCTGGTACTCAAGGGGTCAGGTATTGACTGCGTCAGGTCAATGGGTAGAGACTTTTCCGGAGAAATCAGGACACCCTTATTTTTGTGTTCCAATACGGAATGACACCCTCTGCCTTTCCAGTCGCCTGGCTCCTTAAGTACTGTGAGAATGCCACTATCCTGCTTTGATGGTAGAGCTGGAGATGGTGAGCTGCGGGGGGATACCATGGAAACTTCATTGTGTGACTGGGTCGTGGATGGGGATGAATCACTTGCGTGATGAAGGTGAAGCCGTGATCGGCTGGGACTCCAGCCACCAGGAAGCCATGATGGGAGACAGCTCTGGTCTGGCTGTGGAGTCGGGGCACAGGCCATCTCCATTCCCTTCTCCCTGACAATGCCACTCTGTTCCTGGTGATCACTTGTTATCTGGGCAAGTTCAGAGAATTCTTGCGCTGACGAAAACACCTGTTCATAAGCAGGGACCTCAAATGAGTGCATGAGGAAGTCGTCTTGTCTTCCAGCCTCGCTGCCCTCAGAAAGGCAACAAGAGCTAGGGCCAGGTGCCTTCTTTGGTGCTGTCTGCTGCTGAGTCTTTGCATCCGCTGCCCTGTCTGAGCTTGTACGTGGGGGCAGCAGGAGGGAGTGCCTTGCATTTTCCCCACTGACTGGGGTCTTATATTCTCCTGGCCTCAACAACTCCAGTTGTTCTCCCTTTTCCAACTGTTTGCTTCCCAGGACATTTGCCAGGGGAGGTCCGGCAACTGGACTGTCTTCTCCTGGCTGGTCAGGCTCCTCATCTGTATGTGGTGCTCTTCCCCCTTGCAGCAGCTTTCGCTGAGTAGCTGCAAATTCGTAAATTTCTTCCATGTCTGCTTCATTCACTTTTTCTCTGTCTTCGTCATATTTCAACAAAGTCTCTGGTTCCTCCTCTTCATCGGTCCACACTGACCTCAAGAGTTGTTGGAAATTCTCCATTCTGCTTTCGGAGTTCTCATCTTCCTTCTCCTCCTGTCGTTCGCTCTCCAAGTCCATCACAGCAGGCACTTGTTCACACAGGTGGACAAGGTCACTCACACCAAACCTGCAACAGAACACTGTGGGTCATCACCATTCTGCCTGGAGATGCCTGGAGATGCCTGCAGGCAGCCGAGTGGATGGCCACAGCAGAATCTTCTGGGGAAGAACAACAGTGTGACTGTTCCACTTTCATGGGGACAATCAAAAAGCTCAGTGTGTGGGATGGGAAGGCTGTGGGCCACCCTCTTCCCATGCCTGGTAGGCTTCTCCACCCTGAAAATGTCCAGCCTTTCAAGTATCCATTCCAATTGCCTTTCGGCTACCAGGTCCTGGTGAGGGGCCCTACTGATCATGAACTTGGGACTAAATGGTATAAACAGGACTCAAGGTCTTGCTGGCCTCAGCCCTGACCCTCCTACAGCAAAACCCTCCCAAACTATCAACCTGCTGACCCTGAAACCATCTCTCACAGGCTGGGGAGTCCATGGGCAAAACAATCCCAACCTTTGGGCCAGGGTGCCTAGCTCAGGTGCCAGGTGGGACGGCAGACCAGTGTCCGCTGTGTAGAGATAGCGCAGGAACACACAGGTGGTCTCAGTGCTCACATTGCTTAGTAGTACACGCTGGGTTTCTTCCCCATCTTCAACAGCGGAGAAGCCTTCATTATTTACCTGAGGATGAAACAAAATATTGAAGTAGGCTTATTGATCAAGTGGTTGTAAAGTGCAGCAAACAGACCATTGAGATATCCATGAGTCTCCTGCCTCAGAGTTCCATGCTCCAGAAAGGTTTGGGCCAGTGTTGTGCATTTTCTTGGCCAGAATTCCGCAGGTTCTGCCACAGGATTTCTTTGTTTTCCAAACCACTTGAGGGGTGGATATTAGAATTTCAGGGAGCTAGTAAGTTTCCCCTTGTTAGACTTTAGAACTTTCTGGCAGACTGAGCAAGTAAATCAGCCTTGAAGAGAGCGATGGTGACCCTTTATAATGATGTAATTAGAGGAAAGTAGAAACAATTGGAGGAGGGAAAGTTTTCATTCAATGGAACCAAAACTCCAGACATTTCTCAGACTTGAAGCTAACCCACCTCTCCTTTTTCTCCACAGAAGCAGAATGATGCTGGCAATGGGGGAACCACACTCTGGAGCAAGGGTGGGAGAGACGGGGAGGGACAGAAGGGATGGAGAAGGAGGCATGCTGTGTACTCACATACTGAATGAGAAGTGGACATCGGGCATAAAGCACAAACTTGTGGGCATAAAGTACTTCCCCGCTGTCTGTCTGGAACTGAACGTCGCTCAGGTGTGGGTTATTGACCATGGCACCAAAATCAGCAGCCAGCAACCCGAGGGAGAGCTGCACAGTAGGACAGGAAGAGAGCCATCAGCCCCCCAGTACTGCTTCTCTAACTGGGCTGTGAGGTCCCCAACTGAAGGGTGATAGGGTGAGCTAAAAGCCAGGACCCCACTCTCCTCTCCACCTCTGGGTTATCTTAAGGGCCTCAGTGATCCAGAATAACAAAATCCTACCTTCTTTCTCTGGACCTCTATTACAGTGTACCCCTGACCTCAGGTAGGAGTGACCAGCAAGTGGATGTGACAGGGTGTCCCCGCATCTTCGCAGCTCCTGAGCACTGGGTGTGTGTACATGCACTGCCATACCCACAATGTGATGGACCAGGGCCCTGAGCCCAGCTGTTCAGGGACTTGACACTCCCCAGCTATGCATCGTGATGACCCCAGGCTGGTTGTTGTCATGAGGTACTGGACTGATCCTGGTCCTCTAATGAAGGCCTAACTTCTAATGCTATTCATCACCAACATAGGACACTGGACAGTTAGTTACAGCCCAGCCCAGGACCCTGTAGAGAAGGGACACAGTCAGCTCCTCATGCATGAAGGAAACCATGGAAAAGCCAGCAGAGCAGATGCCTAAAAGAGGCAGCACACAGAAAACCAGTGTTTTCCTGGGACTCTGAGGCAAAGTGGACACGGGGTTCAGTTGCTGGGGTAATTCACAGTGTCCTCAGACAGAATGTACAGAAACCTTTGCAGCAGTGCCCCAAGAGAGATGACAGGAGGCTCAGTTGGTGCTCAACTGGCTCCACTCAAGGACTGTCAGGACCTTCACTGGAAGAAAGATAACCTCTTTAATAAATGGTGCTGGAAAAACTGGCTTTCCACAATGCCAAAGATTGAAACTAGACTCATTATCTTTCACCACACACTAACCTAAAATCGAAATGGATCAAAGATCTAAATATTAAAACAGAAACACTAAATCTGCTGGAAGAGAGAACAGGTAACACACTTGAGGACGTAGGAGTAGGCAAAGACTTCGTGAACAAAACCCAGACTGCATGGGAAATACTACAAAGAATCAACAACTGGGACTTCATCTTATTAAAAAGCTTTTGCACAGCAAGAGAAACCACCAACAGAGTGAAGAGACAACCCAGAGTGGGAAAATTTTTTTTACCAGCTATTCAGATAAAGGACTATTATCTAGAATTTTTAAAAATCAGACTCCCCAAATTTAAAGACCCAATGCAAAAATGGGCATCTGAAATAAAGACACTTCTCAGATAAAGAATTAGAAATGGCAAATAAATATATTAAAAAATGTTCAACATTACTGGTGATTCGTGAAATGTAAGTTAAAACAACGCTGAGATTCCATCTCACTCCAGAAAGAATGACTGCTATCAAGGAATCAACCAATAACAAATGCTTTCAGGGATGTGGGGAAAAAGGAACCCTCCTCCACTGCTGGTGGGAGTGCAGACTGGTGCAACCACTGTGGAAATCAGTGTGGAGATTCCTCAAAAAACTAAAACTAGAAGTTTCATTTGACCCAGCTATACCTCTTCTTGGTATCTTTCCGGAAGAATTAAAATCATCAGGGAAGCAGAGACTAGGGAAACAAATAGGAACAGCCAAGGCTGCTTCTCCGCTCACAGTGCTGAATCCCCACTCCTTACCAAAGAGTGGTGATCTCTCTCAAGGGGCTTCTCCTCGGGTGGCAGGGCAAAACCGGTCAGAGGAACACCGCTGGGCACCAAATCCAACCCTGAGAAAGGTGTGCACATTAAAAAAGTATCATCTCCCAGCAATGCCAGCTGCCAACTGGCTGAGCTGGACTCAGTGGCATCTCGGGACAACTTCATTTAAAGCAGACTCCCACAAGACATTTTTACAACCTTCCCCAAAAGGGAGGTAAAAAAGGACAATAAAAGAGACAAAATTATCCCAGGTGGCTGTTAAAGTTTGAGAAAACTGTGACAGTCATAAGTGGCTACATTACTTTACCTTTGAGAATAAAATGAAAGCACCAGAGTCTGCATTCTCCCACAGAATATACCTCGGAGCCTCAGGTCTGAGCGGCCTTAACAGACTGTCCCTACCTTGGATTGGATGACTGGCCCAAACATCCCACCCAGGGGCTCACCTGGAGCCCCTCCAGAGCTGACCAGGCCCCCACTGCAAGGCCATGGGTTGGCACTCAGCCCTTCCTCTGCCAGGTCCATGAGGTCCTGCAGGGCCTGGCGCTCCCTCTGGCTGGCAGACAGTGATGGGTCTCTGGGGCTGCAGCCTTCATGGAAGCTGCTGTGGAGGGCAGGAGGCCTTTGTACACCCGGCTCTGGCTGCACAGGCAGCACCAGTGTTAGCTTGGGCTCCTGTGTGAGACCCTGTAAGAAGGTGGAAAGCCAAAGTGACTGTGTGATCATGTCACTGACATACACACTATAGAAGCCACCCCACACATGCACAGCTAGACTTAAAACCACAGAGCACAGGACAAGGATTTTCTCCAAGGATGGCCTGGAGCAAGCCTGGGAAGCTCTCCCCATCATGGCGTCAAAAGGCTTCTGCCATGGCCAGGCCATCCTGTGGCATCCCAGTCTACAAAGGTTCATCAGAGAGTCAGAAAGGCACAGCCCTGCCGTCCTCTTAGTGTCATCTAAATGGTTACAGGCAGGTTAAGTACTAACTCAGGACCAGCTGCAGCAGGACTGTCTGGAGCACCTATTTAGAATGGAGGTTCTTAGGCGCCCTGGCACACAGATTATAACAGCCATCTTAGGGGTGGAGCCTGGAGTCTACACTTTCTTTTACTTTGTATTATTTTATTTTATTTTTATTTTTGGGATAGAGTCTTGCTAAGTTGCCCAGGCCAGGCTTGAACTTGCAATCCTCCTGCCTCATCCTCCCAGTATGCTGGGATTACAGGCCTGTGCCATCATGTCCAGCTTGGACTATGAATTTTAAACAAACTCCAAGAAAATACTAAACTTTGGGAACTTTCTTCTTACCAGGACTTCCATTTTTGGTTTGTTTTATGAGACAGGGTCTTGCTACATAGTTCAAGATGTCCTCAAACTCACAGTGATCCTCCTGCCTCAGCCTCCCGAATGCTGAGATTACAGGCACATGTCACTACACCTGGCTATCAGGACTGCTATGTGGTTGTTTCAAAGAGAAATGAGCTATAGCTGAGGCCCCTCTGGCTCCCTCCTGGATCTACTTCTTAGACTTTCTGCCCCTCAATGACAGTATCAAGGGCTGCTTTCTGGAACTGTCCATCTCTCCCCAAAGCCTACCCATGTGTGTACCAGGAGGGGCAGGGCTCACCTTGGTGGGCTGCTGGAGCACAATGGGAGGGACCAGGGTCTCTGTGTAGAAACACTCCATAGCCCAAGTTCCGGTCAGGGCACTGCCCTCCCACAGGAAGTTCTCCTTTCCTTCAGGCAGCTGCAGACACCAACCTGCTTCTTTCAGTTTTTCCCTGAGAATCCTGCTGGCAGGAAGTGGTGGTGTACTGGACAATTCTATTTCCTCTGAAAGGAGCTGGGCCACACGATCCTCTATCTGTCTATCTGTGGTGTTGGAGTCCTGGACTAACAACTGCGGTGGGGGCACCAGGGGTTTCCTCTTGCGACTTTTCTTCTCTAGAGATAAACAGAAGGACATAGTCAGTAGTGGATCTGTCCACTCATTTGGAAGCTGCTGCTGGTAACTTTTGGCTGGCAGCAGAGTAGTGAGCTCTCCCTAGCGCCTCTGCTCCCAAAAACATATACCTGCTCCTGGCCTCGTCCTCTCAGAAAAAGCACTTTCCAGTCTGAGTGCAGGCACAGCTGGATCCTGCTCCATTTCAGATCGGGACAGAGCGATGGCCACCAGAAGGTCCTCAGATGGTACCTCGGGTTTATCAACCTTCCGCCTCTTCTGTGGCTCCTTCTTGGTGGTGGCTCCTTTCCGTTTCCAACCTCCAACAAGGTTGCTAAAGCTAAAGGGCAGCCACAGAGAAAGGTCAGAGAGGGCCTCTCCTCAGACTAGGCCTTCTGCCTCAAGTGGGGTGACCAGAAAGGGCAGTGTGTTCCCTGCACAGGGCCATCCCTGCTTCAGCTCTCACTGTGCTGACTTCTCGTGAGCTTGTTCGATCCAGGCCAAGCAATCAGAAATTCCAAACATGAGAGGATCTGGACCATTTTTGTGACACTGCATAGCCAGGTTGTTAGCAGACAGACAGAGCCGTCAGTGGTACCTGCTAACCTAGATGTGGCTGAACCATCTGGTGGAGTCTATACTCAATGGCTCTGAGTCAGCTCCATGGTTTCCCACCAAGCTCTGTCCACTAAAACTTCAGATGTCCCTGAAGCAGTCCTGGCTACACTGACCACCTCCTACAGAGGTCCCAGGGCGGCATCTCTACCCAAGGTCTGAAGCAAGGGCCTCCCAGCTTCAGCCTCCAACAGGCAGCTCCCTCAGGAGCTAACATGCAGCACCCTTGCCCTGGAGAGATTAGCACAAGGGGTTTTGGGCTGGACAGAAGTGCCACTGCCTGTGTAAACCCCATTGGTTGGGCAAGAAGTAGGAGGGTAAGGCAGGTGGCAACTCTGAGAGTAGGACCCCCTCCTGCCCTGCAGCCTTCGTCATGCCTCTGGCTTCTATGGCTGGGGATTCTCAGATGTGGCCTGGGAAGATCTAAGCAAGCCCTAACAGCTCTAGCTTCCTAGGAAGCTGTATGATAACCACAGCTACCAAGAGAGAAAGGAGCTGCCAGCAGTTAAGCAGATGTCTCCACGAGTACAGTGAGGCTAGGGCTGCTCCCCTGGGCTGCAGGTAGAGCCTGGGCCCAGGAAAAGCATGAGTGAGTGGGCAGGGGTGAGCGGGTGAGCAAACTGGCATGTGCACTTGGGCGAGGGGATTCTGACCACCCCAGAGATCCAGACACCCAGGCCGGACCTTAGCAGAGGGGAGGTTCAAAGACCCTTAAGGGTGTCTAGTTCTTATAGCTTCCTATTTGATCAGCCTTCTAAAAGGCTTCATACACATCTAGTTTCAATACTTGGAGATATTTTAAAGCAGACATATCTGGTCTGAGAGGTAAGCAATGGCTTAAATAATGTCTATTCTAAGGCCTTAAGGCTTCCTGTCCTAGGACACTAATGTGGATGTGCTAAATACAGATAGATTTACTGGCTAAGAGAATTCCCTCTGCCCCCTGGGACCTCAGATCTGACCCAGCCCTGCTGCCTATAGCCTCTGTACAAGGCAATGGCCACATTACAAGGCAGCCACCAAACTTGGCCTTCCTTCCCTTTCCTTTTGGCAGCTGTCAAAGGGAAAAAGTCCCAAAACAAGAGAAGTTGGGGGGCCACACTGACTTTGTTCTGTTTGAAGTTGCCATTAACTTCGTTATCCCTAGTGGCAGGGGCAGTGTGAGCAAAGCTGACCTTCTGCCACTTGTGTATCTGTGGTCTGCATGCCAAGGACTTGTTTCCCAGCTGTTGGAGGGGCTTCCTATTTTAACATGTAAGCACTAATTCAGGAAAATTAAAAAAAAAAAAAAAAAAAAGGTCCCACGGTTCTGTCTCATCAATTCTTTGAACTGTGCTGAATAATCTGACGTTAACAATACGAAAATTGTTAAGATTGAAGCCATGCTGACCAATCAAGACATAGAATAGTTAAAGTGAAGACCAAATTGTTAAGACTCTTTAGAGGAGCCACTGCAGGATCATGGACTGGAAAGATCTCAGGAAAGACCTCAAGGAAACTAAACTATCCAATCAGATTCTCTCCACAGATGCCCCGGTGTGCATGCAAAATCTGTGCCCTCCTGAATCCCTTCTAGACTGCCTGATTTCCTCTTCAATGTATCACTTCCAGAATCCAAGAGGGCTCTAGTGTACTTCAACCCTACAGAAAGCTTTGTAAAAAGTCAAACTGAGTACAAACACCATTCTCTGGTTTTTTAAATTTTCTTCTCTTCTTTTACCTTACCTGGGAGCCACAGGGCTGCTGCTTGCCTCAGGTGGAGCTGTCTGCATCCGCACAGCCTGCAATAGGAGCTGGGGGCCCACTTTCATCCTCATTGCACACTGCTTCAGGTGGCTGATTCGGCTCTTCGAGGTGACAAACAGCTTGCCACAAATTGGACATTCAGGGATCTGAGGTGTGGAAGGTCCTAGTGCCTTTTCAGCCTCATCCAAGCACCTGGAGGAAGACAGTAAAGAGAAGAGAACCACCCTCCCCAGTGATGTGGATCATACCAAATGCTGGATCCACATCAACATGGACGTGATGGCCTACACATGTTCCCCCAAAGCCAGTCCTCTCATACAGCCTGCACGTCTCCTAGCAGTTGGCTCCAGACACTAAATTTAGGTATCTGTTAGCAAAGGCAGCTAAAGAAAGCAAGGACAAATTAAACATGGTTACCTTATAAGCCAGCAATTTTATTCTCAAACATATGCCCTAAAGGACTGAAAACAGGTGTTCAACTATGACAAAAACATTTGCCAAAGGTGGAAACATCCAAGTGTCCACCTATGAATGAAAGGATAAATATGTGGTCTTTCCATACAATGGGCTATTTATTACTCACCAGTAAAAAGTGACAAAATGATATGGGCCACATTGGTGAACTCTAAAAACAAGATGTTAAGTGAAGGTGAACAGACATAAAAGGCCAAGTATTGTATGATTCCACTTACTTGAAGTGTCCAATAAGGAAATCCATAGAGACAGAAAGTTGATTAGTCATTATTAGGAAAATGAGGGAGGGGCAAAAGGGAGTAACTGCCTGGGGTTTCTTCCTGGAGGTGATGAAAATGGTCCAAAACCAAAACTGATGGTGGTGATGGCTGTACAACTGCACAGATATAATATCAAAAGCCATGGGACAGTGCACTTTAAATGGTGGAACTGTGTAGTGAATTCTATCTTGATAAAATTGTTTAGTAAAAAGGGTACTTTGCCGGGCATGGTGGCACATGCCTGTAATCCCAGCACTCAGGAGGCTGAGAGAGGAGGATTGCCTCCAGTTTGAGGGCAACTTGGGCTACACAGTGAGTTTAAGGCTAGGCTGGGCTACATAGTGAGACCCTGTGTCAAAAACAAAAACAAGAACAACCAAACAAAGAGGGTATGCTGGTCACACTGAGGTACTATTATCACATAGAATGTCTCTGGAATCCTGCCAGAGCCACAGGTCACTCCCATGGGAAAGGGGATGGTCGGTACTGCTCCTACCTGTTCACATGCTGCTCCCTCCGGGTCACGTTCATAGCTGAGAGGTTCTTCTGACACATCTGGCAGAAGAACAACCCCTTCTCCTCCAGGTTATCATCATGGGCAGATGCACCTTCCCTTCCAAACTCTTGTTGCAGGACCAAGGCCACTGCAGCATCACTGTCGGTGGCAGGGGGCCCCAGTCCATTCTCTGGGGAAAAGCACCAAAGATCTGTGAAGACCAGCTGGTCCCAGACCTCTGTCATGTCTGTGGCACCCAGGGGATGGATGCCAGGAAGAGCACCAAGAAACCAGAACCTAGTACTGCTCTGTAGGCCTGGGATGCTGCCCAGTGAGACAGGCCCCTGGGACTCTTGGAACTGCTCTCAGCAAACTTCAATATACACACAGAGCATCTAGGGAGCTTGTGAAAATCCAGGCATCTCGTTAAAGCCTGGGCCTCTGCATCTCTAACAGACACCAGGTGTGGTAATGCTGGTGAGCCAGCCCCACTCTGAATATAGAGATCCCCAGGAAATTGCCTTTCATCTTTCCCCTGTCCCCTAAAGCCTGTGCCTCAGGCACTGCAGGGTCACACAGCTCCCATTCCAATGAATCTAGGTTTTCTCCTCAAAGTTCAGCCTTTCCCACTGCTGACCTTTTACTGCCCATGACAGAAGAGCCAGGATAGAGTGAATGACCTTTGGCGGTTAAAAGCCAGTCTCCTGCCTAGCAGCAGACCAATGGATGGACAGATTCTGGTCTTGAGATGGCTCAAGATGGCCCACCCAATACTGCTGGGGCAAACCTGCAGCACTCACAAAGGATATGCTCAGAACTTCACAGGTCCTCAGTTCTTGAATAGCATGGCCTATTGCTCCTGTCACTGAAGCCAGAAGCATCTGGTTCCGTATTTTGTGTCTGTGTATGTGTGGTACTGTGGATTGAACTCGGGGCCTCATACATGCTAAGCATGCACCCCACCATTTAGCTACACGTTCAGTGCTCCCTCCTTTATTTTTGTAAACAAAGAAATGCTTTATTCCTTCTTAAGCATTTGTTGGATATGATGTGAAAATACATAGAAAAACTGAATCAAATGTAGGGCAGGTGCTAGGCCCAGGAACTGGTTGAGTGACTCCTGCGCCTCCCCATCTGTGCCATGAGAGGAGACCAATCCTCAGCAGGTCAAATCACTGCACATTATGGACCTTTGGGGCAGCCTGAGACTCTTCAGTGTTCTCAAGGGGAAGTAAGCAAATGCAATACCAAGAGACTCCACACTGATCAGCTACAGGTCCATCACTAAGGTTTCTTCCTGCTTTTTCTTTTGTATACATTTATCAGAAATGAGGCTCCACACTGCACAGGTGATAGATAGGGCCATCTACATTACCTGAGACAAACCACAAAGCACCTGTGGTATGTGGTTGCCAAACTGTATAACCTGGAGCCAGTCTGAACTCTGGTTTACTTATAGTGTACCCAAAATACAAAAATTGAGGGGAGGGGTTAAATCAGATCTCAGGTTTACTTACAGTGTGCCGGAAACACAAACATTAGAGGAAGGGGTTAAATAACGTTATGAGCTAAATCCAGAAAGTGCAAAATCTTATAAGGCAACTAGTCTAGACTCTTTAAAAGTTAATGTCAACACAGAACAAAACCAAACCAAGGGGACTATTCTATAATCTAACTTTAAGAGATTAAGCTACAGCAATATACAGTGTGTGAATTTATACTGAATCCTTATTGCAGAAAGAAAACCATCTATGAAAGATATTCTTGGATCCCTGGGGAAATGTGAATCTGAACTGGATACCAGGCAGTAGTATGGCATTAGGCATGATAATGGTATTGTGATTATCCAGGTGTCAAATGTCATGTCTATACCTTACTTTCCAATGACACAGAAGAAAAACATGAATATTTATAGAGACATAAAAAATATATGACAGGAGTATTTAGAATCATTTTTGGTATAGATTATGTCCAATTCGAGAATCGCAAATACAGCCAATTAAGATCTGAAAAACAAAACAAAAATGTGTATGTGTATATAATGGCAAAATGTTAATTGTTAAATCTAGGTGGCGAGTAGAGGGGATCACTGTAATCTGTTTGTTGCTTTTAGGTTTTCCTTTGTTTTATTTTTTTCTTTTGAGACAGGGTCTCCCTATGTAGTTCAGGCTAGATTTGAATTCTCTGTGTAGCCCAGGCTGGCCTTGAACTTGTTGCCGTCCTCCTGCCTCAGCCTCCCAAGTGCTAGGACTACAGCCATGTACCATCACATCTGGCTATGTTCACTATAATTTTAAAAAACTCTGTAAGGGAAAAATTTCATAACAAAAAGTCAAAATAAAAATGAGAGCCAGACATGGAGGTACATGCCTATAATCCAGGAGCCTAGGAGACTAAAGCAGGAGGATAGTAAGTAAAATGCTGTGAATAAAAAAAAAAAGCAAGAAGTCTCTAGTCAAAGAAGTCAAGTAAGAAATGACCAAGAGACATTCATTCTCTAGTCAGACCAAGTAAAGTGGCAAAGACAAGACACCTGGCAGAGGGCGCATTCATAGTAGAAACAAAATGAATATGGGTTTCTTGCTGCCTCTTTTCCTTCCAGTATTTCTGGAAGATTGAACATGTTCCTCATACCATTTCCTGCCACCATCTCCTCTTGAGGGCTCTGTGGAACATTTTCTTCCAGTGTGGCCTCCAGGAAGCAGTCCTCTGAAGCATGTCGCAAACGCTCAGGGTCTGCTCTCTTGAACTGCTGCATCCGCTGAAGAACCAGCTCTGCAGTACGTGGTTTGGAGGGACTTGACACAGCTGCTGTTGTCAAATAGGACCGAGAGCGCTGGGAGTCACCATTGGGAGCATTCTCTAGCAAGAAGGAAAACATTCACAGCATGTTCCACCTGGAGAAATAAGACTTTCCAACCAGATACAGGCTAGAGCCAAGTTTACCAACAAATTTAGGTTTGACTAGCAAGTATGAGTATGACTGACTGCTTGTTAGCAACCTTACTGCTTACAGCAGTATAAACATAAATATCAGTAACAGGAGGGAGTGGGGAGTGACTGCTGGGGATCTTGGGGGTTTTGACATAATGAAAATGTTCTAAAATTAAGTAGTAGTGGTGCTGGCACAATTGTGGATATATTAAAAACCCATGAACTGTGAACTTTAAGAGGTAAATTTTGGGAACTGCAAATTACATCTCAAGCAATTATATTAAAACAATGTCTGAGTGGTGGCATACAACCTGTAATCCCAACACTCTTGGAGTTGAGGCAGGAGGATCACAAGTTCAACTTAGTGAGACTGGAGGAGGTAGGGGGCAGGGATGTGTGTGTATATATCTATATATCTATATATCTATATCTATATATCTATGTGCGTGCGTGTGTGCGTGTGTGCGTGTGTGTGTGTGTATCTCAGTGTCAGTGTGAAGGCACTGGGTTTAATACCCAGAGGTTCAATCCCCAGTACTGAAAAAAAATTTAATGGCAAATGTTTCTTTCAAGATCTGTTCTCTTTTAATTTGGGGTCCAGAGATGGCCTTCAGTGCAGATCCACAAACCCCCTGAAGTTGTGTGTCACTTTTGCAGGTATGCATGTGTGTAGCGTTTTCTAGAGGATCATGCAGAGCTTTCATCAGATGCACAAAGGGAGCATGAAGGATTAATAGCACCTGTGCACATTAATGAAGTTTTGTAAGACTCTGCAAGCTAAGACTTCCCACTACTCTTGAGAGCTGTTTCCACACTAGAAAAACAAAACAAAACAAAACATTATTTAAGACCAGGAAGTGAAGGTGAGGAAAATTTAGAAACAGAACTCAGGAGCCCAAAGAGCTTGTGGTGCATTATATAGGCAAGGGTAGTTTTCAGTTCTGCATGAGGAATGTATCTGAAGCATCTGGCTCAGTATACCAAGGGCAGCAGGGCAAGAAAGCTGCTGTAGGGCCGGGGATTTAGCTCAGTGGTTCTGTCACCTGCCCTGAAAGCGCAAGGACCCGCGTTCGATCCCTGGTACCCCCCCCCCCAAAAAGCTGCTGTAAACAAACAAAAAAGAATAAAAAGTCTTTTGGGGAGTGAAAGGAAGGACCTGAATACGTCTCGGGACTTAAACCCATACTGCACCCTCCTACAGCCTTCAATAGCCAAACTTGCTGGCCCATTCAACTTACCCACTTTGGAATGAATTTAAGAAATAAAAGGATTATTTTCATGTTTGTGTAAATTCCTAAAAAGCAGAGGGCTCCAAATATAATCATGTGAAAAATCTATACAGGAGTTGTATTTCTTATGATTCTTGTTCAAAACAAGAATCAGAAAATTGGTCTTGGGGCTGGCATCTTTTTTTTTGTAAATAAAATTTTTACTGGCACAAGGCCACACCTATTCATTTTCATACTGTCCTATGCAGCTGCACACACTATAGCAGCAGAGCTGGGTACAGTTGTCCTCCTATATCCCTGGGGAATTGGTTCCAGGGCCACCTGTGAATATCAAAATCTGCAGATGTTGAGTCCCTTATATAAAATAGCATACTATTTGCATATAACCTATGCACATTCTCCCCTGTATTTTCAGTTACGCCTATATTACTTATAATACCTATACAATGTAAATGTTACATAGTTATCACACTATATTGTTTAGAGAAGGTGATGACATGAAAAATTTCTGTACATGTTCAATATAAACAATTTCTTTCTCATATATTTTCTATCTGAGGTTTTTTTTGGTTTTTTTTTTATCTATCTGAGGTTGGTTTAATCTACAGATCTGAACTCACAGATAACGAGTGCCAGCTTTAGGCTGTAGTACAGACTGTATGGCCTGCAAAACCAAAATATTTACTATCTGGCCTTTTAAATTTTATTTATTTATTTATTTTTAAAGTGAAATTTGGTATTTATTTATTTTTGGTACCGGAGATCGAACTCAGGACCTTGCTCTTGGGAGGCAGGCGCCAGAACCACTGAGCTAAATCCCTGGCCCTATCTGGCCTTTCAAAGAAAGTTTTCTGACCCCTGGTTTAAAACAGTATGAATCATTCCTATGTCCTCCCTAGAAAGGCCTGGCAGTGGTTCTTGACTGGTTACCTGTCTGGATGCTCTGTGCTTGATCCTGGAGCACAGCCGGATTCACAACAGGAGCAAGCACACCTCCCTCTCCACTCACAGGGAGAAGAGGTTCACTTTCCTGAGACTTGGGTGCCCCTTGCTTTTTAGCCCTATGGCTGGATGACTGAGGTTTCTTCAAAGTGCCTTGAAGGGTTTTGCTGGTGGCAGACTGTTTGGTCTTTTTTGATATGCTTCTTATCTGAGCACTGTTTGAAGATTTTTGTGTCTTCCTTTCTCCCAACACTTCCTTGGTTCCAGTTTTTTTCACCCTTTGGAAAAAGCTGGCACAGAGTTCTTTAAAATCATCATCTGACTCATCCATCTCGGAGCAGTTTTAAGGCTTTCAGGCTGGTGGTCTTCAGGGGAGTGAGACCCAATCTGGAGGCATGCTCTCAAAATGAGAACATGAATCTGTGCACCTGCCTAGCCAAGCTTCACTCACTGCTTGGCCTCACTAAGGTTCTTCTCTACTACTTGCTAAGCTACTACGTGGAGAATTTGCACAACTGACAAAAAGTACTGTTTTCCTCTTCAGAATGATTTAAATGTCATTCTTCATATTGAGCCTGTGGTTAGACAACATGTTTAAATTTTCTCTCTTTTAAAGTTCACAACTCAGAAAACGTTTTGTGGTGCAACAACTGTCTCAGAGATAGATTATGTGTGAATTCAGTACTCAGATTCTCCAGGATTTCCATAGTGATAAAGTACATGGTTTCATTTAATTTCTTATCTGTGGAAAACCAAAAACATCTAAGTGTAACTAGACAGACATTGCCAATTTATGTCCTTTCTTCCAGGAAGGTACAAGAGCATGTGGAGTATGGGAGAAGTCTTCAGAGTGAAAGTACTCTGTTACATGCTCAGTACAGCCTGGTTAACACCATGCTTGTCCTTGAGAACATCACAACATAACACAGGACAGGTATCTAGAAATATATTCTAGAGTATATTCTTCCACAGGCAGAAAAAATATGTGCATTTTGGGGAGAGTGTTATTTTTACTGAAATCTGAAGAACAAACCCCATGAATGGCAGTTGCCACAGAAACAGGAATATTCCCAAGTCTAGGGAACCTACTTCCCTACACTGAAGACCCCTAGCTATCAGCTTTATCACCTGATAAAGGATTTATTAGCAAAAGTTGTAACATGAGAGAAAGAAAAAAGTACATGGCTTCTAAATAGTCAGGAGAACAGAAAAGTCCACTTTTCTCTAACCTCTCAGCCCACAAGAGCACTCCAAATTCAGATGACTGGAACTCTGCCTATGTGCAAAGGCTGGGCCTATGGACATGATTATATACTTTGGCACTCAGTTCAGTGGGATTCAAAAATGAAAACTGCAGCTAAAACAAAACAAAACAAAACTGAATGACCTAATGGCCGTTCTTTACTTCAAATACAGTAATTCAGTCTCATCGTCCAAGCAATCTGATTAATCATTTAGTTTTCCAGAATGGGAAGATATCCCTAGAATCTACTTTGCATGGCTGGTTCATCTCACCTTCCATGTCACCTCCTTAGACAGGCCTTCTCAGTCCTTCAAGTGGGTCCTCTCCATAACCTCCCCCACATTCTCTATCATCACCCATGGTTTTTACAACGGCATATATCAGATTATAATAGGTAATACATAACATTTGTTAAATGCTTACTGTGTGCCACTGTTCCAATTGCTTTCCAAGAGTTTAACTCACTTAATCCTTACAACAAATCTATACAACAGAATATACTGTCACCTTTTTTTTTTTTCCAGTGCTGAGCAACAGTCTCAGCCCCTTTTTTATTTTTTATTTTAAGATAGAGTTTTTCCAGGTGGCTAAGTTGACCAGGCTGAGCTCAAATTTGCAATCCTCTGCCTCAGCCTGGGATCACAGGCCAATGCCACCACATCGGTCTATTGTCATTCTTTGTCTTTTTTTTTTTTTTTTTTTTTTTTTTTGGTACGGGGATTGAGCTCGGGTCCTTCTGCTTGTGAGGCAGGCGGCAGAACCACTGAGCTAAATCCCCAGCTCTGTCATTCTTTCTTTGCACTGGTTCATGTCACACAGCTTTTGAAGTAGCGGGCAGATATCAAACACAGGCAGTGTGATTCTGGAGTATCAGCTGAATACTTTTTTTACTATCAGTCCCCAGCTAAGTTCAATACTGAGGAAAACACAGACTTACCTATTTTGCTTTGTATTCCCTTTAGCTGATCTCGTACCTGACTTGTAATAAGTGCTCGACAACTATTCGTTGAATTCATGCACTCCGAAGAGTTTGATATAATCGGAGTGAAGAGAAACTGGTAGGACAGAAAAGGTCTGTAGGGAAAGGAAGAGGTGAATTCACAAGGGCCTGGACACCAGGCTAAAGCAAACTAAAAATTACCCTCTTGGATGTGGGGAGTAGACAGAGCAAACTTCACACTGTGTTGAGTCTCAAGACAGTTCATCCATGTAGGTACTCAATCGATTTTGCTGAATGACATTATAACGGATCCTACAAGGCTGCAAGCTTCCAGAGGGCAGAGGACTCCTCAGGTTCGTACCAACCGTACCTATCCGGGTGCTGGCCGCCAGCAGGCGCGGAGGGAATGAATGAATCAGGGCGGGGCGACTCTCCCGCTTTTCCCAATCCGGCTACCTACGAAAAGGGCTGGCCTCCCTGGGGAAGAGCTGCCAGGGATGCTGCCCGGCCGCCAGACGAGAAGCCCGATCGCCAAACTGGCTCCGGGTGGGACCACTGGGTTATCCAGCTCCACCCTCCCAACCTCCCTCCAGGCCAGCCCTTCTCCGCCGCGACTATGGGCCTGGAAGGCCAGGGGGCCACCGTGGGATACAAGCGAGGAAGGTTCTGGCCCCTTAGAAGAGCGAGAACAGGACAAGATGACAGGCCATTCTCCTCCAGGGCGCGGATTGCCAGCCCAGAACCCCGGCTCCTCCTACCTCCCACAACACAGCGGAACCTTCTCAACGGAGATATACGCGCCTGCGCATGCGCCGCCGACGCCCCCACGAGGACTGGATTGTGGGTAGGCGCAGAGCGGACGCGCACGCAGGGAGCGGGAAGTGTCGTTTTCCCATCATTCCTCTGTGGCAAGCGCGGCGCGGAGTGTTTCTGGACTGCACGGGACTAGGGCAGAAGCGGCGTCTGGCTGGCTGAGTGGTCGCTGCTGGCTGAAGCGTAGTAAGCGTTGAAGAAGAGTCGGTGGGTTTGGGCACTGTGGTTAGTTTTAAGGAAATGTTTCTATGGTGGTGCCCCTCTCGGAGCACACCTACCTGTGGAGAGATGGGTGAGGCACCAGATTCAGGGCCGCGGGAAGCAAGGTCCGGGTTCTGATAGCCGGATGAGGAATTATACCACGTCTGTACAGGCGGGAAGCGGACTCAGCCTCACTGAAGGGCGCGAGGGCCAAGCGAGGATGAAGAGGTTCGCCATGGCTGAGATTTGAGGGAGGTTTTTCGTTTATTTTTAGTATTGGGGATTGAACCCAGGGCCTTCACACTGAGCTACATCCCCCGTCCTTTTGTTTTTTTGGTACCGGGGATCGAACTCATGCCTTGCGCTTGCAAGGCAAGCGATGGAACCACTGAGCTAAATCCTCGCCCCCCTCTCCGCCGTCCTTTTTAATGACTTATTTTGAGACAGGGCCAAGTTTGTGATCCTTCTCCCTCGCCTCTCTGAGTGCTGGGATTATGGATGCACGCTTGGCCAAGAGGGACTTTATACATCGTGTTAAGGGTTGCAGCTTCAATCTAAGGCCATCGGTAGCCACTTAAGATTGTTTTTAAAAGTTCTAATTGTAGTGTTAAAAAGTCTACCCTAGGGCTGGGGATTTAGCTCAGTGGTTCCGCCTGCTTCGCAAGCGCAAGGACCGGAGTTCGATCCCCGGCACCAAAAAAATAAAAAGTTTACACTCCAGCCCTTCAGTGTATTTTTTTCCATTTAGTTCATTGGCACATTTTCGGTATCTTGTACCTTTACATGATGTTTCTTGGTTCTTATTTTTTCCCCACACCCCTGCCCTCCCTTCACCCCCTCCACCCTTCCCTTCAATTTTTTTTTTTTTTTTTTGGTACCAGGGATCGAACTCTGGTCCTTGTGCTGCGCAGCAGATGTCAAAACCACTGAGCTATATCCATGGCCCTGTATTTTTGATTTATGACATTTTCAACTTTTTTTCTCTTTTGTTGATAGTGATACTGGGGATTGAACCAAGTACCTGAGTTACATTCCCCAGACCTTTTAAAAAATTTGCCAGCCATGGTGGGACACGCCTGTAATCCCAGCACTGGAGAGGCGGAGACAGGAGGTTCACTGCGAGTTTGAGGCCAGCTTGGGCTGCATAGTGAATTCAAGGCCAGCATGATGAGACCCTGTCTCAAGGGGGGGAAAAAAAATTTTTTTTTTTTTTTCAATTGTTTTGAAGTCGGGTTTGGTGGCATTCGCCTGTAAGCCCAGCGTTCTGGAGGCTGAGGCTGTAGGATCACCAGCCTGACCTGCTGAGACCCAACTAAAAAAAAGTGAGAAGGGAGAGGCAAGACTAGAGGCCAAGGAACCCTTGGAAGACTGCTATACTGCTATAGTCCAGGTGAGAAATTTGGGTGGCCCGAATTACGGAGATGGAGTGGAGAGGATAGAGAAGTATTAAAGTTAGAAATGCCAGTATCTAATTGGTGGGTTTTTGGCTTTAGCATCTGAGTGGAATGTGGTTCCATGACTAAAATAATGAACATCAGAGAAGTGTGAAAGATTAGGTTTAGAGAAAATATGGTATGTTTCATTGATTTTTTTCTTTTTAAAGATATAATTCACATACTGTAAAATTCACTTAAATATGTGATTCAGGCTGGCTGCAGAGGTATGGAGGTCCACAGCAAGTCTTGTGCCGGCTCAAGTCCTTCGTCTCCATCCCAGGAGTGCTCAGCCATCTCAGTGTCCAAAGAGCTACTGACTGTTGGTAATGGCCAAGGAGGTATATGGGACAAGTTACTCATCAACTCCAAGCCTAATTCCAGAAAATCCTCTGCTCTTCAAACAGTTCGGATAGAGAGGAGTCCATTACTAGACCAAGTTCAGAACTTTCTCCCACAGATGGCCCGGGCAAATGAAAAGCTCAGAAAAGAAATGGAAGCCACTCCCCCTGAACATTTCAATATTGAAAATATTGACAGGACCCTGGGCAAAGTTATACAAATGGATGTGGTCTTATTTGAGATGAATCAGGCAGATTCAAAAGAAAAGGATAGTTCAGGAGAGAGTTCCCAAGATAGTTCAGAGGACAGTTCAGAGTCTGAGGACGGGGATGACAGGGTCACCATGGATAATATTAAACTTCCTAATTCAGAAGGTGGAAAAGGCAAGATTGAAGTTTTGGACAGTCCTGCAACTAAAAACAAGGAACAGTGAAATAAATGATTTTAAAAGAAACAGGTGATACATACCTGCTAATTCTGTGAAAAAGAATGTGGTTGTGGGTGTTTTTCATATCTCGTACCTATGGTGCTTTTAGTGTTAAAAGAAAAACCAGACAAATTAACAATTTAAGCAAAGAGCAATTCATGAATCAGGCAGCACTCAAACTGTAAAGGGGTTCAGAGAGTTCTGTGAGGGCAGCATACTTATGTAGCTGACCACAGACAAAGTATAGAAATAACTTTGATGAGTTACAGTGAGCCTTTGCTTTGGTTGGACATGGTCTTATCCATTAGGAGCCTGGGATTGGCTGAAGCTCAGCTGTTTGTATTTGGCTGAAACCCAGTTATTTGTTACAAAAATACACTCCTTTTTCAGCTGTTAAAGATTTTTTTTGTGAGTCAAGTTATGCACTGTGATTATACTTTCTTTTCTAAGTTATAGGGTGACTAGTTAACAACTAGTTATTTCAAAATAACTAGAAGATTTTGAATGTTTTGCTGCAAAGAAATGACGTTTGAAGTGATATGTTAATTACCCAGATTTGCTTATTATACAATGTTTACAGCTATCAAAACAATACATTGTACCCCATAAATGTGTATAATTATGTGTCAATCTAAGAAAAAAATACACTCTTAAAAAATGTGTAATTCGATGGTTTTTAGTTTATTCACAAGATTATATGTGCCACACCATGCAAGGCCACAGGGGGGAAGCATCAGATTTTGGTCATGAGGAAGTAGGAGCAAGGGGATAAGCCTAGGCCAGTGATGTTGAACCTTTTAGAGCTTTCAATGATACAGTCTGCTGCAGCACACATACCATAGGTTCATCACACTGCCCTAGGCTTTCTGCAGAAAGGCAAGTCAAGGCAGAGTAAAAATTTTAGGATTGGCTAGTTTAAATAATTCCAACAGGCTTTGGGCTGTAGGGATGGACTCTAGTTGCCTGGCATCTGGCTGTGGGATGGTGGAGGGCAAGGGAAATAATGGCTTGGTGTATAAATTAATGGGGATAGTTGCCTTGCTTATGAGTGGGATGCTGTCAGTTTTTTTTCCCCCTATACCAGGGCTCAAACTCAGGACCTTGAGCTTGTGAGGCAGGTGAGGCACCACTGAACTAAATCCCCAGCCCCATGCTGTCAAGTTTTATAACTAGGAATTAGCTAGCCCTGGAAGAGGTAATGGTTCTCTGTCAGCAAGACTTTGACAATATCAAAATATAAGATGAACAAATGTAAAGGTAGAAATTGTTTTTCTCCCATAAGATTGAGTTAATTCAATTGCTATTTAAGTAAAATGAGTTATAGTGTAGCTTAGAGAAGTTTCCTTAAACCTAAGCTTCTCAATTGAATCATGTAACTTCAAACTGGAAACAGCCGGACTCTTTCCTTAGGCCTACTAAATAAACCCTAAGGGAGGGCTTCCAACCTGTCTTTGGAAAGTTCCATGTATGATTTTGATGACCTCTAGATTAGGAATCACTGCATTTAATCAACACCTATTGAGTAAATCCGTAAGTGAACTAAAAGTTGTGAAGAGCTAAGTAAAAAATGATTGAGATTTAATGTTAAAACTAATTCCTTTCTTTGAGAAACGGTTATCTATAGTGAGGGTAGTTTTCTCCTTGGCCCATGGTAAATAATGGAACCCTTTTGTCCTGGACCTTGTGACTTCTCTCCAGTAGAAGCATTAGTGTTCATGGTCTCCCACTGAAATTATACAGAAGTCATACAGTGACTGAAGGACGTTGTCTAGAAACTTAGGAAATCCATGTTAGGTCCATGGGAATATTACTGTATGTTTCTTGCTTTGACAAAATACTTAAACCAAGCAGATGAAGCAATGTTTCAGATATTAAAAGGTGAAGGTTGTCCTGTGTTTGGTCAACCTTAAATTAATCAAAGTGGAACAGAAGTATATGGAAAAATTGATGTTGTTCCAAGTAGAGGCTGTTTTTGCCCTAGTCCTCTGGATAGTTTTAGGTTCAGGAGAAGGGGAAAGGTTGAATATACTATTATTGTCATAGCCTTACCCACCTGGAATAATTTGTTTTTGAAAACTTTTGGCATTATTCTACTTAGTTAATGTTTTAAACAGGAAGACGTGAAAGGCCTTTGCCCCAAGTCTGTGGTTTGGTCATAAATTACAAAGCCAAAAATCTGTTTAGCTCCTCTTCATTTATCTTGGCAAGGGTTAGGGAAAGTTACAAATTGAACAAGAAAATAATTGTCTTCTCAGATTTTTGGTCATACTGACATATAATCCTATTTTCTACGAGGCTAAAATTGCACTCAGAAAGGGAAATAACTGATGAAATGTCTAGAAGTTACTGTAGGTTACCCTGTACTTATTGTTATATCACTGTTGCCTTTTGTGTGATGTAGCTCTGCCTGTTTTGCTATTTAATATGAAGGTGGGCTGGGGATTTAGCTCAGTGGTGCTGCCGCCTGCCTTGCAAGAGCAAGGTTCTGAGTTTGATCCCTGGTACCCCCCCCAAAATTTCTATTTAATATTAAGGGAGATTCCATATAGATGTACTGGCCTCAACTGCAAAAGTTTTTTCCCTAATAAAAATTTATAACAGTGATCATAATTTTGATGTTAAAATTAAGTCATCTTCATTTAATATTTTTAAGATAGTACTGCTCCTATCCATGTACAGATTCAGCATAATCCCTATCAAAAATTTTTTTTAGTAAAAATGGAAAAGCTGATCTTAAAATTCATGTGGAATTGCAGGGGAACCCAAATATGAACACACAATTCCCTATTTCATACAGTACAGATTTATAGTAATCAAGACTTGTTCTAGCATAAGGATAAACATAAATGTGTAGAATAGAATTGAGACTTCAAAAATAAACCCATATATTTAAGGGTAATTGATTTTTGACAAGGGAGCCAGGATCACTCAACAGGGAACAAATAGTATCTTCAAGGAATGATGCTGTTATGAAAGGATGTTCACATGCAAGAGTGAAGTGTAGCCTTATATGTAAAACTTGAGTGGATCAGAGACTTAAATATAATACTCTAAGCAGTGCTCCGCAACCCCAGTACTCAGGAGGCTGAGCTAAGAGAATTACTATGAGTTCAAGGCCACCTCTGGCTATGTAGTGAGTTCAAGGCCGTGTGAACTACATAGTGAGACCCTGTCTCAAAAAAAAAAAAAAAAAACTCAGAAGAAAGGAGTAAATCTTTATGATCCTGGATTTGGCAGTAGATACAGTGGACCTTCCAGTTACAACCAGCCTCACAGCTTGGGTTACAACCAGAATTTAGTTTTAGCTTATGACCAAAGTCTTGAGTTATGACCCGAATGCTGGTCTTTCCTGTGTGGGATTAATTGAGAAATCCGGAGCCAATGTCACTCTAAGGAAACATCTGCCTGGAAGAAAGTGTGGCCTAAAATTATACAGGGGAGAGACTTTGAAGGCTGTGTAGAGGAGCCTGAGCCTTCAATTGATGACATTGTCACTATAGTAGAGACCATAGGCTTGCAGGTAGACGGTGATGTTGAGCTGGTGGAGGAACACTCAGAGGAATTGTCTACAGAGGAACTTCAGCAGCTTCTGGCTAAGCAACAGAAACGCAGCTGAGGAGCTTTCTGAAGAGGAGGGCCGATATCAACAATCAGTGCAGCAAAGTTCTTCTGAAATAAAGGAAATCCTGAAAAAATGGACAGAGCTACAAACATTTACAGAGACGACCCACCCAGATAAGAGGAAAAGCTAATCGTTGCATTCACTTACTCAGTGTTAAACAGACAACCTTAGACCAGTTTTTAGTTCTGAAAAGGTTGAGACCTAGTGAGCCAGAAGCAGGTCCTAGTGGGCTACAGACTCTCCCAAGGAGAGAAAGGACACCAGAGAGCCAGATTTCTGACGTTCTTATGGAAAGGGACTCTCCTTCTAGACAATAACCACCTCCCATTTCATCCTTCCTGAAACCCAAAGATGTCATCTTGAATGGTGAGTATAGTATGAAATTGTTGTAAATGAGGTACATTTTATAACTTTTTGGTGAATATACTAGGAAAATTATTTGAATTTAGTAAATTATGCACATTATACAACCCTTTTTTATTATGAAAAGGTTAGTTAAGGGGTGCTTTGGGACACATTATGGTTATTTCCATTATATCCTATGGGAAAAATAGTCTTAAGTTAAAAACCAGCCCTTGAGAACGAATTGAGTTGGTAAGTCAAGGATCTAGTGTAGCACAATCTTACAGGAGTAAGGGGGCTGGGGACTTAGCTCAACGGTTCTGTCTCCTGCCTTCCCGAGTTTGATCACTGGTACCAAAAAAAAAAAAAAAAAATAGGAGTAAATCTTTATGACCTAGGATTTGGCAATAGATTCTAGATAACAAAAGCAGAAGCAATGAAAGAAAAAATTAGTACACAAGAGCATGAAAATACCCACAAAATGGAAGAAAATGCTTGGAAATTGTGTACCTGATAAGGGTCTATGGTATGGTCTGACTGTTTATACCCTCTGCAAATTCATATGTTAAATCTTTAAACCCCAAGATGATGGTATTAGGAGGTACGGTCCTTTGAGAGAGAATTAGATCATTCAAGTGGAGCCCTCATGGGCGTGATGGTGCATATCTGGAATCCCAGCACTTGGAGGCTGAGGCAGGAGGATAGCCATGAGTTCCAGACCATCCTGGGCTACATAGTGAGTTCAAGGCCATCCTGAACTACATAGCTAGACCCTATCTCAAAAAACAAAACAAAAAAAGCTCCACAGTGGGTATGGTAGTACATGCCTGTAATCCCTGCTACTTAGCAGGCTGAGGTAGGATGGCAAGTTCAGGGCCAGCGTAGGCAATTTAGCAAGACCCTGACTCTAAAACAAAACAACCTAGAGACTGAATATGGAGAAATTGGAGCCCTCATACATTCTGGAAGGGTAAAATGGTACAGCTGCTGTGGAAAACAGTTTTAGGTTCCCCGACAAGGTGAAAACAATCACCGTATAACCCAGAAATTCCTCTCCTAAGTATGTGTCCAAAAGATTTTTTTTTAAGTTATTCAAACAAAACCTTGTACCCCGTTCATAACTGCCAAAAGATGGAAATGACCCACATGCCCATTATTGCATGAACAAACAAACAGTGTATGTAGTGGAATGCAGGTTACAATATGCATTTGCTTATTTTATTTTTTCCTGGCTTCCTAATGACTTTTATTTTATTTTTTAAAATTTCTTTATTAGTACACATTTGCCATACATAGTGCTCACATTCATCATAGTTAAAAAGATCTTGTTAAGGGACCTTTTATTTATTTATTTTTTTTCAGTACCGGGGAGCAAACTCAGGACCTTGTGCTTGCGAGGCAGGCATGGTGCCACTGAGCTAAACCCACAGCCTTCCTGATGTTTTTTTTTGGTATCAGAGATTGAACTCTGGTCCTTGTGCTTGAGGAGCAGACAGTGGAATCACTGAGCTAAATCCCCGGCCCATGATTTCTTTTTAATACTCAAGTTTGTCCACACCAAACTTTTATCAAGTTATCAGTCATACTTGAGCTTTGCTTTGGCATCTGCTCCTAGGCAATTGCTGCTAACCTGTGGCTCTCTTGCCACCTGTCTCCAGGGTACTTCAGTTATCTGATGGATCTAAAAAAAATTGGTTTTCGGTCAGGATTTTTTTGTGTAAGGATAGAAGTAGCAACTTTAAAGCACCTTACCCGCTTTCATTTTTCTGATGTTATTTTGTTTGTTTTGAAAAGCATTTGGTCTGTATGGCTTCAAGCCACCAGGATACAGTCTTCCCCACCAACACCTTTAATCTTATCCTCAGTACTTCTGCTGAAGAATTTGGCCTTCATGATAATAGGCTGCTTTAGGAATTTTGCTAACCCCAGAACTTTGTAGTAGGCCAATCACATGACATCAATAATGAGAGCTGTTCCAGTCTTGTTTTTCACACTATTTGCTGGTGTCTGCTCACTGACCAATATCCACATTTATCAAGGTTGGGAGTTGGGCAGAAGCTCTTGCTCCTCAAGTTGTAATGCCTCATGCCAGCTTTTCCAAAGTAACTTGGATGACAGTTGTTGAGGTCCTGTGGTGATGTATGCCACCAGCATTACCTCCCCTGCCTGCATGCTTCCCATGCTTGCAGATGTAGCTGTGGCTGTGTTCTTGTGGCCCCAAAGTTTCCGGGTCTTCCTTAGTCTGGATGGCATATCAGCGGCTGAGATGAAAGCTCATTTTGGATTATGTGGGTTTTTTGTGGTTATTTGGTACCTGGCATCGAACTCGGGTCCTTGTGCTTGTGAGGCAGGCACCGGAACCACTGAGCTAAATCCCTGGCCCTGGATCCTGTTTTTGTTGGATAAAATTAATTGTAGTTCACAGGGTTTTTCCCAGTACTTTATAGATGTCACTCCATTGTCTTCTGGCTTGCAACACAATTTTCATGTTACTCCTGTCTTTGTCATAATATGCTTTTAGCCTGGCTGCTTCTAAGATTTGTTTCCTTTTTCTCTCCCCTCCCCTCCCCTCCCCAGCCTGCCCCTCCCCTCTTCCTCCCCCTCTCCCTTCCAGTACTGAGGATTGCGCCCAGGCCCTACACACTGAACTACTTCCCTAGCCATTTTATATTTTATTTTGAGATAGAGCTCTCACTGAGTTGCTCAGGGTGGACTAGAAGTTTGATTTCCTACCTCAGCATCCCAGAATGTTAAGATTCCAGGTGTGTACCATGGTGCCTAAGATTTTTTCCTTTAAAGAATGATAAACTTGATTATGATGTGCCTTGTTGCAGTTTTTTTCCTTTTTGATTCTTCAGCTAAGAGAAAAGAGATGATTTATTGCACACATCTTATACTTGGTTACAACTGAGGACTAATGCAGAATATCACAGTCGAGGGCAGAGGTTTTGGTGTGAGCAAGATGGGCCTCTCAGGGGTGGTCTCAGCAGCTGAATGGCAATGGAACTTCTAGAGAGAAATTCTAGACATTGGTGTGCAGTCTCAAAACTTGAATCAGCATTCCTGGCCTCAGCATCCCTTATTCCACTCCGTTAGCCTCCGTGAGTGCACAGCTAGTACATGGACCGCTGTCTCATCTTTCCTCTCATTCTTTGGCCTGTACCCTTGTTTCCTTCTCCTTTTGGCTCTCATGGTGCAGAGGTTTCTAAGAAGATGGCACTAGAGCTGAGAGTGGTACATTTGTCTTGAGGCTTATTGTTTAGGTTTTATTGACCTGGATCTGTAAATTTATAATTTTCATCATATTTGGCAGATTTTGCTTGCCATTTCTTCAAATATATTTGTCTCCTCTCTTTCTAGGCCTGCCAGTGATGTGCATATTAGGCTGCATGGCACTGTTCTCTGTGCTGTAGTCAGTTTCCATTGCTGTGTCTTTGAATTCACCGATCTCTTCTTTTTCAGAATTTACCTGATGTTAATCCCATCGGGTATATTTTTCATTCAGATACCATTTTTACTGTCTCTAGAAGTTCCATTTGGATTTTATATCTCCCATTTCCTCCTCAGAGGATGCTCTGTCTGCATTTCTTGCTTGAATATATGGAGCTTATTTATAATAGCTGGTTTTGTCTTTGCTTATTCCTTTATCTCTGTCATCTCTAGAGCAGTTTTCCTTTACTGATTTATTTACAATTCCAGGTCATGGTTTCCTCTTTATTTGTCTTCCCAGCACTCCCACAGCCTTGTAGCTAATTTTGTTAGCAGCTTCATGGGTGGTTCTTGGTCCCCAGTCATGGCGCAGGACAGTCCCTGGATTTTATCACCTGGTGGGAAGCTGTGTTCAGACCTTCTTCTGGTCTGAATTCTTCTCTTGGTATCTCTCTGTGCCCTAAAATGTTCTGTGGAGTTCTCTCTTTTTTTTTTCTTTTGTTTTTTTTTGAGACAAGGTCTCAATATGTAGCCCTGGCTGGCCTCAAACTTGCAGTGATCCTCCTGCCTCAGCCTCCTGAGTGTTAGGATTATAGGCATGCACCACCACACCTGGCTGTAGAGGTCTCTTTTTTCCTCCTTAGTTAATTCTTTGTCAGTAGTTAATAGTTCTGTATACTATTTTTGTTTTTGTTTTTGGTACTGGGGATCAAACTTGGGACCTTGCGCTTGCGAGGCAGGCAGCAGAACCACTGAGCTAAATCCCCAGCCCAGTTCTGTATACTATTTAAAACACCATGTGGTTCTGTCTCTTGATTGGACTCTCACTGATAGACCTGTTGAGTCTTTTTTTTGGTACCAGATATCAAATTCAGTACCTCGAGCTTGCCAGGCAGGTGTGCTACCACTGAGCTAGATCCCTGGCCCCTGAGTCTTTATTGGATGCTAGATATTATGGATTTTGGTCAGACATCAGAGTTCCTTGGAATCAGTTGGTCCTTTAGAAGCTTGCTTCTAAGCTGTAGTCAGGACAAGAGCTACCTGTAGTTGGCAGTTAATTTAGCCCCATTACAAAGAGCAATGTCCTTCTGAGGATTCTATCCAATACCTCAGGAGTTAGGAAGAGTGATAGTGGACTTGGGACTGTTCCATTTGATCCTTTGCAGGGATATTTTCCCTAGATTATTTTACTGGTCTCTTTGTGCAGTTTCTTCTTTTTCAGTACTAAGGATCAGGGCCTTATGCATGCTAAGCAAGCTTTTCATTGCTGAGCTACATCCCTTGCCCTCCTTGTATAGTTTCTGTCCCAGGCATAAATCTGTCCCTAGCTGCAAGGACCCTCTACAGATCCTGGAGTTCGGCTCCCCTGTGCATCTCCCTTCTCTGCAGGACTCTACCCAACAAACTGCAATCATTTTATTTCCTTTTTTTCTTTTTTGGTACCGGGGATCGAACTCGGGCTCTTGCGCTTGCCAGGCAGGCAGCGGAACCACTGAGCTAAATCCCCAGCCCAAACTGCAATCATTTTGGCCCTGAGCTCTGAACTGTGTCTTTGCAACTCTGGAGTGGTTTTTGTTCAGCCCTCTGTGTCGCAGCTGGAACCCCTTCCGGCTGATGCTGGTGCAGTCATAGGGCTAGCTCTGTCTCCCTGCTCTGAGGCTCACTCTCCTGCAACTGAAAACTGCCACACTGTGTGTATTGTCCAGTTGGTGAGGGGCTCCTGATATTCCACCTTAAATGGAGTAATGTGAATAAAATAACAAATGAAATAGCCTATCAGGAATGTGCAATTCTGGTTAAGCTGATTGACCCCTGTATTACCACTCCCCCTTTCCTTCTTTTATTAACCAGCCTTAAGTTAATAATGGGAACAGCAAGATGGCTATGGCCCAGTGGCAGATTCGGTGTTGGCCTTCCCAGTGAGATTGCATCTTATCGTTTTCCAGCGGCTCTCATTGGTGACCCAAGGCACCTCAGAGAGCAGTACCTCTGCCCACAAGCCCAAGTGAGGACAGGAGCTGATCACCTGGAAAGGCAGAGCTTCTGCCTTGCCTCAGCAACTGTACAAGTCCACTCACATCTGGCCGCTGGCTTCGGCTTGCCCAGACGACCGAGCTGGACTCACTCCTGAGCCCCCGTCCATGGCTGTAGCAGAGCAGGGGTGGCTGGTGGCAAAATGTTGACTCCAGTGGGCAGTTGTGCTTCCAGTCATGCCGCAGGGCGGGAGTTAGGAAGCACTGAGCACGGTGAAAGTTAAGTGGACAATGGAACCGGTGCTATACCCTGAGATTCCCAAGGAGACAGGGCTGGCAGCTTCCTCTCCACCCCAGCCCTGACCAGGCAGTGTGCAGAAAATTGCTTGGAGTGTGGAAGCAGGCCCTGTGTCTGCCGAATGAACATAACTCAGCACAGGCAGGCCCTCTGGGGAGTCTTCACTGCCAGTGGGAAGCTGGGACAGGACAGCACATGGCGGCCTCACCGACTGCTGGTCTTGGGAGGCAGAGGTCCTGGAGGTCTGGTGGAGAAGGCCTTTCCCTGTGGAATGGTTTTTCCTTGCTTGGCTGAGCCCTACAAGTTGTCCTGAAACCACATGCTTTCTGCATTTGTCCCCCCAACTTTTCTCAAGATGTTGAGGCATAGAAAACATAACAGCTCATGGCTTCCCCTGGGCAGTGGCCTGGGAGGACTCAGGGGACCTTGGGGATCATGGTCTCCTCACACCCAGGACAGGACTGTCACTGGCAGGGCCACAGTGCCTCAGTGTTGGGTATGCTGAGGTGCCCAGGGGACCAAAGGTGAGCAGAGGGTAGAATCAATAGCCAAGGGAGCTGGGGGAGGTGAGGAAGTCTGAGACCAGCCTCCCACCCACCCAGGAAAGAGTGACCAAAATGGTGCTTTGTCAGACTCAGGCCTTAGGGTCTGTGGTTAGAGCCATGACAGCCGCCATGTCACGGGGACTATACTGTCTGGTGTTGGGCCCAGTGATGCTTACCAGTGTGAGGCTCCACTTGGCGTGGTTAGCTCCCTTTTCCCACAGAGATGGGTCCACACCAGCTCTTCCCTGAGGGTGGCTGTCCAGCATTGCTCCCTGTTTTGGTGGGACTGTCACACCAGCAAGTGCTGCGGAGGCCTCTGGTTTCTGAGCACTTCTCAGACTGACCCCTTAGCCTAGACTGCCTCCCCTGGCAGGCTGATACTATAGGCTTCTCTATCCCCAAGATGATTTACCTCCCTCTGCCAGGACTGAGGACTGCTGAGTTTACTCTGTTCCCCTCTTGTCTGTCAGGGCTGTGCTCCTCTCTCAAGCCAGATGCTTATGCTGAAGCAAGGATAGTTCAAGAGCTGGAAGAGCAGAGCTCGGCTGCCCTGCTGTTCAGTACAAGAAGACTCCTGACTCCCCCTCCACTCGGTGGGTTCTCAGTGAGCACCTGCCAGGGCCAGGCCTCCTCCAGGTGCTGCTGCCTCTCCCCAGCTCTCATGGATTTACACCCTATAGGGTGAACCTGACCATGCAGTGGATGTCAGATGAGAATGAGTGGTGAGGAAAAAAAGGTAAAGAGATTAGTAAGGACAGAGGATGACTCAAGTGTGACAAAAAGCAACAGATGGCCAGAGGCCGGGGGCAAGCTGTGGAGGAGGCAGAGCACTCTGGCAGAGTGACAGTGCAAGGGGGCTAAGGCAGGAACCTGTTTGGGAAACATGATTCAAATTGTCAACATACAACAATAGTGCCTGAAGAGGAGCCCCACATTAGTCCTGGGCAGGAGGCTCCACAGTGATGTGCAGTTTTTGTGAGGAAGCAGCCCTGCCTTCTGGCCCAGAGGGAAGGAAGCCACTCTGAGCTGGCAGTCTTTGGGCCCCAGGGTACCCTTCTCCAGAAGCCAGGCTTCAGGTGAGCTGAGGACTGGCCCCTGGTTCTCTCTGAGGAGCTGCCAGTCCCAAATTCTGGCATGCGCCATCCTCACTGTTAGGACAAGGCTGACCAGGACATCAGATGAGGATACTTGGCTGGGCAGAGGGAAGAGACCTCGTGTCCATTTCCACCCCTGCCCCCCATCACCTGGCACACCTGGACAGGATATCTACCACTGGGAGATGGCCACATTCTGTGCCATTTGGCTGAGTATCAGCTTACCTTCACACCATCTCCTCTTTGCAGTGCCACTTGCAGACTGCTTCTCATGTGGAGCAGTTCATGAATGACCAGCACCACCGAGGGCTCGAGTTTCTAAGGTAGAGGGCACCTGCTGAGGCCTGCGGAGGCAGGGCTAGGCAGGTAGGCAGAGGCAGAGGCAAAGCTCACAGAGGTGAGCCCCTTCCTGCTCCCATGCAGGCTTTTCCCTCTTGGGCCCTGGCTGGGCAGGATGCTCAGAAGCGAAGCCAGAGGCCACAGGCAACATTCCATGGTGGAGAGACCAAGCTGAGGCAGCAGGATCCCAGAGCCAGGATCTGAGAGGAAGGAGGCCAGAGAAGAGACCAACACCCAGTATTGGTTTCTCTCTAGGCATTTGCTCATGGAGCTGTTGCGGGAAGAGAAGCTGGAAGTGGCAGTGTCATAGAGCGGGAAGAAGTCAGGGGTAGTCAGGACGAAGGGCACTAAGAAATAATCCAGGCTCTGGGTTGGGAGGCGGGAGGCCATAGGCAGACTGGTCTTTACAAGGCCTGCAGAGGGCACAGTGTCAGCCAGGTCCCTGATAGGTCTGTAGCAGCCTGCCCTGCTGCCCACCATGGAGAAGGTGAGCCCAGACCCCTGCATTCTATCATGCACGCGCCTGATGCCATCAGAAGCAGCAAGGCACATTGAGAAATGGGAGCAGAAGAGGAAAGATGACAACTCACAGGAGATGAAGAGACTTGTCAGATGTGAGCATTGAAATAGATGTGGCTAACCATACAAAGAAAACTGGGAAGATGGAGTTTTACAGGGAATTGGAATTCATTTTATTTTATTTCTTTTTGTTTTTTTTTTTTGGTACTGGGGATCGAACTCGGGATCTTGCACTTGTGAGGCAGGCAGTGGAACCACTGTGAAATTCATTATAAAGAATGACAGTTCTCAGGCCAGGGATTTAGCTCAGTGGTTCCGGTGCCTACCTCGCAAGCGCAAGGTCCCGAGTTCGATCCTCTGTACCAAAAAAAAAAAAAAAAATGACCGTTCTAAAGCAGAGATGTATGAAATTCAACAGGTGGATTTCCTAGCACAGCGGTCTGCTGAAGAGGACAAGTGAGCTAGAAGGTCAGTGTGAAATGTTCTACAAACTCTCTGTAACAGGTTGGTGCTATCCCTGGGGATGTTCTCCTGCCCTCAGGGCCCTGTTAGCCCCCTCTGTGGACCCCAGCCTCAGGCATGGAGGGGACACTGCCCAGAAGGCTCTTTGTATTTGGGAGACACTGCGGTGCCTCCAGAACTGGGAATCTGGGAAACATTCTTCATCACCACTCTTGCCAGAAACATTGCTGGGGCCCCGCTACATGGCCAGGAAAAAGAGCTTTGTAGACAGGTTCCCCACTGGGAGCAAGCTCACATCTGAACCTGTGGGCTCGGGCTACAGGGGTACTGACTTCCAACGTGCATTTTGGAAAATGTTTTTAGACAAACGTCTTGCCATTTGTGTCTCCCACAAAAGCAGTGTGCAGAAAAGTAGGCATGTGTGTGGGAGTAACAGAAGGGAGCCAGGCAGAGCCGCAGGGGATGCTGTTCTGGCCTCACGTGCCATGCAACCAAATGCCAATCATTTCACCAGTGTGCTGGGCTTGGCATGGCTGCCCAAGTGTGACCAAGCAGCTGTCATGAGTCTCAGCGGTCTAGATGCATGTTGTCCTGTGGAATTTTCCACCTCCTTTATAATGAGGAATAAACTCACAGGCTGGTGAGCCCAGGCAGGGTCATAGGCCAAGGGCAGCATGCTGTGCTGAGTGAGGCCTGTGACATGCTCAGGGATTAAAGCAATGTCACAGCAAAGATGTGGCCCTTTGCTTTTGTCCACTAAGATGCTTTGTCCTTGAGGCCTCCCAAGGTGTGCCCTCCTGTGGGGAGAGATTTGCCTGTTGGGCCACAATAGCCACAGGCCCCTCAGCATTTGTGAGGCAAGCAGTGGCACCACTGAGCTAAATCCCCAGCCCCCCTTAGCGTTTCTAATCAGCTCCAGCTGAGTGCCTGGTGCCCAAGTGTCACTTGGATGCCTGCAGTGTCCTCTGAGAAGAGGCTTTTCCCTGCAGAGTCCATGGAGGAAGGGACATTCTCACTCAGACAGAAGGAGGGTATCCCAGGGAGGAGAAGGCAGGTGAAAGTACGGCTCAGCACACCCCAGTTTCCACAGGGCACCCTGTGTGTTTCAGCGTGACAAGAAACACATGACTTCTCCTTCAGGGAGCTGGGATTCCGGTTGAGATACTGGCCATAAATAAGAGTGAACATGGACATGAGCAAGCACATTAAAACAAAGAAGCAACAAGGCCATGTTAAAAATGAACTGTGGGGGTGCAGGGGCTGTAGCTCAGTGGTGCCGCCGCCTGCCTCAAAAGCGTAAGGTCCCGAGTTTGATCCTGGGTACCAAACAAACAAACTCTGGGCCATTGGTGGGGAGAGGACAGCCTTGCTGGAAGAGGTGACATTTAAGATGAAACTGGAATGGCAAGAAGGCCCCGGCTACCCAGGAGGAGTGGAATGCTCTGAGCTAGTCGCATAGGTCATGAGAAGCATTGGATTTCTTCTTAAGGACAATGAGAAACTGGTGACAGATTTTAAGCAGGAGAATAATGTGGTATGTGATCTGATTACACGTCTATGAGATGTTCTGAGAGCCTTGTGGATCGTGAGGACAGCTTCTAGAATTAGGGAAACTACAGGGAGACAAAGCGTTAACAGGGCCAATGTGGTGGCTGCAGAAGAGACTCATGAAGTGTGTGTGAGAGACGCCAGGGACCCCAGATGATCTCAGGAGTTTGTCGGAGCATGGGGGTGGTGGTGGAGCCACAGCAATAATCTGAGAAGGCAGGGATGGGACCTGTGGTCCATTATGACTGTGGCAAGTTATAATGCCCATCAGGGGAGGCATCCTCATGAGCTAAAGTCTGGGAAGAAACTCTACCTCCAAGGAGACCCCTAAAGAGTGTTTCCTGAGTGGGTAACACCACCTCTCCTATGAAGGCAGAGAGGCCCTCAACCCCAACCTGACAGCTGTTCATTGCCTCCCAACCCAGTCTCAGAAATCCTTCCTCTGCCTCACCCTCTGCATGCAATTTGCCATATGCAAGACTGCAGTGCTTTCCTGCCCTGTCTCCCCAACCTGGAACCAACTGCCCTCTGGCCTCCTAAGCAGGGGTCCTTCTCGCTTCCCTCCAAGGATCTTTCCCAGATACAAACCTCTGTGTTAACTTCTTGTTACCTTACTTGTGAATGCTGCGTTGTATCTGGTTGTGTGGTCCACAGGCTTTGATTTATAGAATTTGGGGGGTGGGTACTGGGAATCAACTCAGGACCTTGCGCTTGTGAGGCAGGCACAGCGCCACTGAGCTAAATCCCTGGCCTGATTTATGGAATTTTTAAAAAATGGAAAATTTCAACATACTCGGAAGTATAAAGAACCTTCATGTACCCATCACCCAGGCTTGAGGCAGCATTTTTGTATGTTTTGTTTTGTGGTACTGGAGATTGAACCCAGAGCCTTCACATTGAGCTACATACATCCCAGTCTCTTTTTCTTACTTTTTCTTTTTTCTTTTTTCTTTTTTTTGTACCAGGGATCAAACTCGGGACCTTATGCTTTCAAGGCAGGCGCCAGAACCACTGAGCTAAATCCCCGGCCCCCTTTTTCTTACTTTTTTTTTTTCTTTTTCTTACTTTTTAAGACAAGTCCTTGCTAAGTCACTGAGTTGCCCAGGCTGGACTCAAACTTGCGATTCTCCTGTCGCCACCTCCCAGAGTGCTAGAATTCTAGGAGTTCACTACTGCTGGTATGCTGGTGTCATGGCAGTGTTTTGAAGCAAATCCCAGGCATCATATCTCCTCATCCTGACATACCTCAGTGCTTGACTGTAAAAACGTAGTAAGAATGCTATTGCCAAACCTTGCTGGATTTATTATTTCCTGGGTCAGTCTCCATTCCCTGATTGCCTTTGATATGGTTTGTTAAATAAATGTCTGGTTTACGTGATTAAAAGATTTGTTTTTGGGCCAGGGATTTAGCTCAGTGGTTCTGTTGCCTGCCTCGCAAGCAGAACAACCCGAGTTTGATCCCCGGTACCAAAAAAAAAAAAATTATTTTACAGGGTCTGAATAAGGTCCAATCGTTTCTTTTTACTCTAAGCTTCACCCATCCCTGTGCACCTCTTCTTCCTTAAAATATATTGATATTGTCCTTGGACCTGTGCTTTTTTGTGCACCCTGGGTAGTGCTGTGTCCCGCCCCCTGTGCTGCTGACCATGAGCCTTCCTGTCTATTTGCTGTAGGTTCACATTTAGATCCAGGGGTCTGGTCAGATTCAAGATTGTTCAGGCAAGAATCCTTCCTCAGTGCTGCTGTGTTCTTTGATCAGGAGGCACAGTGCTTAAGTTAGGTGACTGCAAAATGTGTTTCAAAGTCCTCAATTCCTTCCTGGGTCATTTCAAAGTCTTGCTCTTTGCTAGTCTCTTACCCACAGGAAACCTAACTGGGATTACTCAGCAGTACCCTCTGCAGAGGAAAGGCAGGTTAAGTTCCTGACCTTTATTTGCCAGTCTGCAGAATAATGAGTTGGATTGGCCTGGGGATTTAGCTCAGTGGTGCTGCTGCCTGCCTGCCTTGCAGGCGCAAGGTCCTGAGTTTGATCCCTGGTATCAAAAAAAAAAAAAAAAGAGTTGGTTCCCTCTTAACATCCCCCAGAGGTGCCTGGAAATGTTTTTACATCACTTGAACTCATGGATTTAAACACAAGAGACACATTTAATCCCTTACAATTATTTTTCTCAGTTTCCACTTGTAGAATTGAGAATTTTTTTTGTGAGATGTTCAAGCAATTGTAAATGAAGTCCAGAAAAGAAGGAATATTGATTAAAGTAGGTACCTGTAACTCAGGTGTATCCATGCTTGTTAGATCAGAGTTTCCCAGAAGTGCTACAGAGTACTCTTAGTTATGGTTCATTCCCTACGTTGGCCCCAAACTTCTAGGCTCAAGCAACCCTCCTGCCTCAGCCTCTTAAGTAGCTGGGCTACAGGTATACACCATTGGACATGGAAGGGTCTCTAAGCCAGCGTCCCTAGTTCCATTTATTAAGTAAATCCAAACAATAAATACCTATGCCCTGTAACTTATGGTAGACATTTGAAAAAGTAATGCACATAAAACTTAAAGAAAAACAATTTTTGGTGGTATGGTAATGGAACCCAGAGGTGTCTGAATAACAGCACCTCAGAAGATAGCCACAGAACTCTGAATGTTAATTTATATGACAAAGGAGGTGTTTACAGGTGTGATTAAGGACCATGAGATGTAGGCATTGTCCTGGCTTCTCTGGGAAGACCTACATTCAGTCACATTTGTCTTTGTAGAGGGAGAGTTGACACAGAGGAGGCCACATGACCATGGAGGCAGAGACTGGAGCGATGCAACCACAAGCCCAGGATTGCTGGAAGCCACTAGAGGCTGAAGGGACAAGGATGGTTCCCTAGAGCTGAGTAAGCTTGGGTTTCAGGCTTCTGGCCTCCAGAACTGTGAGATCAAATTCTATTGTTTTAAGCCACCACATTTGTGGCAATTTGTTGTAGCTGCATCAGGGAATAAACACACTTGGGAGGGTCAGAGATTCTGAAAAGAAATGAATGGACCAAGGCCTAGCCCTGCAGTCCCCACCCTTGCCCAGTGTTGCCCACAAACCTAGCAGCCCCAATCCTGCAAGGTCCATATCCCTGTCCAAGCCCCCAACTTCTTGCCAAGTTGCCTGCATCTCATGACTGGAATCAGGAAAGCAGTGCTGGGTGGTGAGAGTCCCGGGCCATGTGGTCTGGCTGCTGTGAGGCTCCATTTGCAACATGTGTCTGGATTTGGCCCTCAGCCCCAAGGTGACCTTGAGGTCCCCAGACTAGAGACCTGCAAGTGCAGCCCAGCCCTACCCTCAGGCACACACTCGTTGCCTGTCCCTGGTGGGAAGAACACAGGGTGGGCAAAGGACGCAATCAGACATTTTATAACCAAAGGCAAACATGATTATCAGGTACTGTTTTTACAGCATCAAGCCTGTCTGTTGAAGTCAGCACATGCCAGCAGCCTGCCCAGCGCCCTGGTGTGAAGGCCACATAGGCAGTGCCATAGTTTGGCACACTGAGGCCAAGTGCGCACACGTGTCCTGGGGGCGGTCTTGGCTGCCTGAACCTTTAAAAGGCCCAGCAGGACCAGCAGTGCTTATGTAGGAACCAGAGCCCCAGGAGCTACCCAAAGCCTGGCTGCCGTTTTTCTTCAAACTGACTGTAAATTTTTTTCTTTAGGGCAACAAAAGGAGAATATTCCAGATTCTTGACTGAATTCCCATTGCTTCTGCAGATATCACCTTGGGTGAGTGCCAGGCTTGTTCACCCCTGAGGACTTCTTTGGAGTGACTAGCCAGTTAGGGTTGGGGGTGAAGGGCAGTTCTGGGCTGGATCCCAACACAGCAGGGTCCGCTTGGGCAAGTGCCAGCCCTCGTGGGCTCTAGTGCCATAGCTGCCTTAGGCAGACATTGTTCCCAAGGCTGGTTTCCAGGAAGAGGAGTGGGAAGACCCAGCGTTCTTCCTGTGACATTTAGTATTTATCCCTCGGGATGGTGTGGTAAAAGAATTGAGGATCAGCACAGCTGTGAGGACAGGTCACCCCAACCTTGGGCTATAGCAGCTCCTGCCAAGGTGGGTGAGAATGTCTGGGCCATGTCTCACTGCTTCTGTATCCCTGTAACCTACATTCTCCCAGGATGATGGGCACAAAGCTGACACCAGTGCTGTTTGCCCTGGCCGGCTTGCTGCAGGTGGCTGTGCCCCTGAAAATTGCAGCCTTCAACATCCGGACTTTTGGGGAGACCAAGATGGCCAATGCCACCCTCTCCAGCTATGTTGTGCAGGTAAGTCCAAGGTGGGCTGTCCCTGAGACCTGGAGTTGGGGGTGATAATAGGCCCTAGGAATGCAGGGCAGCCCCGTGGAACCATATGCTGCATGTGAGCCATCAAGAGTTTCTGGTCTCAGGCCTCATTCATCAGTGAGTGGACATTAGTCAGAGTTGTGGCTGCTGGCCCAGGGTCTTTGTCACTACCATTGTCAGGGGCTGCAAACCACAGAGGGCAGGCAAAGTATAGGGCTGTGGGCTGAGCTGTGCCATGAAAACACCCCAGGAAGTAGCAGCTCTGGCCCTGGATGTGGCTCTCTGAGGTCTGGGGGATGGGGATTGCAGTCACCACCAAGACTGGCCCTGCTCAGGCTGCTGTGGCCCTGCCCCCAGATCCTGAGCCACTATGACATCGCCCTCATCCAGGAGGTCAGAGACACCTACCTGACGGCTGTAGGGAAGCTGCTGGATGAACTCAATCGGTGGGTGACAGTGGTGGGGTGAGGGGGAGGTGACCACATCCAAGGGCCCAGGGATAGGGCCCTTTAGTCAGCAGTCAGAGGGTCACCTCTGTGGCCCTGACAGGATCTTTTGTTTCCTCCATCCAGGGATGCACCAGACACCTATCATTTTGTGGTCAGTGAGCCTCTGGGACGCAACACCTATAAGGAGCAGTACCTTTATGTGTTCAGGTGAAGCCCTGAGCCAATGTGGCCTGTAACAGCAAGGATCAGGCCATGGGGAGACAGACCCTGTGTCTGCACCCCAGAGAGCACCATGGAAGGCCGAGGGGTGGGCTAGAGAGGATAATGAAGCCCTCCCTTGCCTGGAAGGACCCCAGAAGGATGAGAACAGGGGAGAATGCAAGGCCACAGGGCAGGGCTCACTCAGGCTGGAGTTGGATCACCGCCCCAGTCTCCACTCAAGTGGGATGAGCTGGCTCCTCCCCCTGCCCTCCCTGGGTGGGCAAGTCTGTGGAGTGGTCAGTGCAGACCCAACTCCTGCTATGCAGGACAACAGTTCTCTTTGAGGGGCCAATGGAGCTGGGCCACTATGCAGGTAGGAGGGGCAGCTCCCAGCTGCAAGGTCACCTCTGCCTGCCTGGCTCCCTCACAGGCCTGATCTGGTGTCCGTGCTGGACAGCTACCAATATGATGATGGCTGTGAGCCGTGTGGAAATGACACCTTCAGCCGGGAGCCAGCCATTGTCAGGTTCTTCTCCCCATTCACACGTGAGTATGCTTAGCAACCTGCCCCGACTTTCTTGGGGTACACAAAAAGCTTGTGGGTTGGAGGGGTGCTGCCTTACACACTCCTCTGGGAAGCTGGCTGTCCCAGTCCTCTGGTTTTCTACCCAAGTTACCTAGGACAGTGTCCACACCCTGGGGAACTGTTGTGCATCCTTTGCATGTGTGGGTGCCTGGATGCTGAGCACACCCACTCTCTCCTCAGAGGTCAGAGATTTTGCCATTGTGCCCCTGCATGCAGCCCCAACAGATGCAGTGGCTGAGATTGATGCTCTGTATGACGTCTATCTAGATGTCCAGCAGAAGTGGGGCATAGAGGTGAGGCTGTCTTGAGGCCCCGGGGCTCTACTGGCCCCATTTGTCCCTAGGCCAACAGGCAGGTATCTCCTGGCAGGACATCATGTTGATGGGTGATTTCAATGCTGGCTGCAGCTATGTGACCCCCTCCCAATGGTCCTCCATCCGCCTTCGTACAAGCCCCACCTTCCAGTGGCTGATTCCTGACACTGCTGACACCACAGTGACGTCTACACACTGTGCCTATGACAGGTGAGCAGGGATCTGGTCGGCATGAGGGACACCTGCCTAGCTCCAGAACTGATCACCCAGCCTCTGAGCAATGACCCTGAGCTTTCATTCATCCACCCACTGAGGAAGTCGACTTCGTAGTTTTTGAGCGAAGGATGTTTAGGGACAAAGGGCAAGGCAGAAACTCAGGTTCTTAATAGGTTGTCTTTCTCTTCCGAATGGGCTCAGGGTGTGGGGTGGTGGGCACAGCCTGGGGTGGCTCGAGTGAGGTCTGAGCCAAGGCCCACTGCCCCCAGACAGCAAATGCCATGAGACCATTTACCAGACCAAGTGGGCTAAAGGGACCCTTCTCTCCCGTCCCATCCTGCAGGATCGTGGTCGCTGGATCTCTGCTCCAAAGTGCTGTTGTTCCAGGCTCAGCTGCTGCTTTTGACTTCCAGGCAGCATATGGACTGACTGGCCAGCTTGTAGGTGTCCTTCCTTTGCATTTTAGCTCAGCTGGGGACATAGCTTGGTGAGAGTGGCCCTATGTGATTTCCAGTGTTGCTGTTTTCTGTGTCTCAATATGGACCTGGCTTTTCACTGCAACCCTGTTGGGCGCTAGGGATAGTTTGGGGACAGCCCCCTCCACATGCTCCTCCTGGGAAGACCTGGCAGCATGGTCCTGACCCTGTGGATTCCCCATACTGCATGTCTCCTCCAGGCAGAAGCCATCAGTGACCACTACCCAGTAGAGGTGACACTGAAGAAAGCCTGACATCTGCAGGCAGCATAACCAGCTGGGTCCTCCATGGTGGCTGGTGACCCACAGCATGGCAGGTACAGCACCCCTTCCTCCCACTTTGGTGGGGGCCACCCAGCACAGGGCTGTCCCAGCAGCAATCCATCTTCTCAGTACCTGGACAAAAGAGCTAACATGTGGATTAAGAAATATCTTTTAATTGAGGTAAATAAAGCTGAAGGTGGTGGTCTCATCCATGGTGTCTAGTCTTTCCTCTCCCTGCCCAAGGTACACTTTCCAGGCAGAGGCACACCATTCCATCTGTCCTCTGGGCTGCGCATCAGACTGCAGGACCAGCTGCTTGGCTGTCAGTGTTTCTCCAAGGCCTTGACGAGAAGGTCGTTCAGGCGGCCCACCATGGGCCTGGGGTCATCAACAAGGCCTGCTGCTATCATGGCATTTTCATAGATCTAAAAGGCAGGGGTGGACACTGTGTGTGCAGGAGGACAGGGAACCCAAAATACAAAGAGAAGAAGGGAGAACAGCTCCCAAGCCCACCGGTCTGCCTGATTCCCCCCACCTCCTCTCACCTGATCCACAAGCAGCTGAGCCAGCTCTGGCTCACGCTGTCTCAGATCACTGAGCTTCCTGATGAGTGTATGCCTGTAACAGGAAATCACAGACCAGTCAGCTTGGGCTGAGCACCAATGCCTCCATCTTCATATCCCAGCCACCTCTCTGAGATGTGAGCAGACCCTTCTACAAAGTGCAACAGGTCTGTCAAGTATGAAAAGGTACATAAAAGTTAGCTGTAAGTGACCTTTACGTGATGATTCTATACCCTGAAAGCCCGAAATAATCAGTTAAGAGTTTCAGTGTTAAAAAATACAGGAAGGGGCTGGGATTTAGCTCAGTGGTTCCGCAGCCTGCCTCGCAAGCACAAGGACCCGAGTTCGATCCCTGGTACCAAAAAACCAAAAACAAACGGGAAGGCAGATGTGCAACAAAACATATACTAACACTTCGGGTTCATCTGTGAAGACCATAAAGGTGATACGTTTGTTTTTTTTTGTTACCGGAGATCGAACTCAGGACCCTGAGCCTGCAACGCAGGCGGTGGAACCACTGAGCCAAACCCCTGGGCCAAGGTGATACTTTCTTAAATTAATCCAGCTGATTCATTTACATTAATAGATTATGTTAAAAGATTTTTTTTGTACCCTTCAGAAAACAAGTAGGCTGGACTCCTACCTTATTCCTTGGATCAAATTTCTGGAAATATTAAAGGTACAAATTTAGCTCATAAAAGCCTAATACCGTGCTGGGGGCATGGCTCAGTGGTAGAGCAGCTGCCTAGCATGTACCAGGCCCCAGGTTAGATCCCACTATTGCCAAAAGAAAAATTTTATAATTTCAGAAGGGGAAGGACTTTCCAAATAAAATGGGAGTACGCCCTTGAAGGGGCTATTTGGATCCTAGCTTTTTCCTGTTATATTTTGCTTCCTGGCTGCCATGAAGGAAACAGCTTCAAACCACCATGCACTCCCTGCCACATTATGCCTCACGACAAATGACCATAGAATGAAATCCCCGACTCTGTAATCCAAAACAAGTGTTTCCTGCTTCCAAATTATTTCTAAGATATTTTGTCATAGTGATGATAAGCTAACACAGGTCTCCTCTCTTAATAGTCATCCAATTGCATACAAGCTTACTGACTGTCCTTAGTCTTATACTCCACAGTGAAAGATGAACACATCCAGCTAGGCGCAGTGGCGCACTCCTATAATCCCAGCACTCAGGAGGCTGAGGCAGGAGAATTGCCATGAGTTCAACACCAGCCCTGGCTACATAGTGAGTTCAAGACCAGCCTGAACTGCATAGCAAGACCCTGTCTCAAAAACCACAACACAACACATCACCCACATAGGGTTTGTAAGGACTCCTGGCAGGTCAGAAGAGGGCCTAGGCTATACCTGGGGTTGATCTCTAGCGTGGGCTGCAGGAGCTGCGCACGCTCCTCCTGAGTCCTGGCTAGCTGCTGCATACGCAAGAAGTGCCGGGCGGCCCCCATCTCTAGCACAGTCACCATAGCAGGGTGGGTGTCCAGGCGGAGAGTCACCTGCAAGCATGACCAGAGTGGGGCTGAGAGGGATCTCAGGGAGGGGACCAAGGGATGAAGCTCTCCCAGACCATCAAATAGGCAGGATCTCCAGGACAGCCCCTAACCACCTGAAGCCAACCTTCCTCCCTCCCTCACCATCATCCGTATCAGCCCAGTTGGGGGCTCCTGCCTCGTCCCCAAAAGCACTGAAGCTCTGTCTTGCCTACACTCTTCTGTAAGGGTCCGCAGCACTGGTGGTGCAGAATTCCACCTCCTGGCTTGGGCTAAAGAAGCATCTTGTCCGCCAGCCAGCCACTGAAGGGGAGGCAACTCTTGAGCTCTGATTCAAACCCCAGCTCCCTTTAGTTGTGATTATTTCATCAAACTGGAGACAACAGTTACCTAAGGCCTAACAACCTGGAATCTGTAAAGCAGGGATACCATGTGTTTTAGAGGCAGGAGCCACCGTGGAGTACTGTCTGCACATCTTGCCAGGAATTCCTTCTCTTCTGGCCAAGGCCACCCCTTGTCTTGCTGCCTCCTGGGCCTGCCTTAGCCCAACATGCACTGTAGCCTCTCCCTTGGGGGCCACTTCTACATATGGCCCTGAACCAGTGCCCTGCACAGGACACCCCTTTGTTGGTGTGTCCTTCTTTGCTCTGAGCTAGACTAGCTGGTGCTGAGCTCTTGGAAGCTTACCTGGAACCCCACTAAGTCCCCAAATCAGAACATAAGCTCCTCTCAAGCTAGGGTGGTAAGTCCCTTCCTCGGAACTCCCACTTTAGCCACTGCAGGTCCCATAGGGTCCAGACTAGGCTGGCCCCAGATTGCTCTGCTTCCATTCACACACTAGTTGTGGGCTGCTCTTCTACTTCCTCAGCTCCTGGTGCTGAGGGGAATGAGAGCCAGGCCCTGATCTCCCTGCCTCTGCAGACTCCTGCGCTTCACATAGCCAAATGTATGTGCAGCCAAACGTATGTGCAGGAGAGGGGATATGTGGCCACATCTGAGCATGGGAACATGGACCTGCATGGTCTCCACCTGACATCACAGGCTTCTGCTTCTGGGCAAAGGCCCAACAGGCCAGCTACTTGGAGCTGAAGCGGGCCTGTGATAGGGACAAGGACCAGGTGGCCAGGTGGTAGCCCATCCCAGGAAGGTCTCACCTTCACATTGGTGACTCGAGACCCCAGTACGTTCCGCATCCAGGCCATCAGCTCCTCTGTCTCCTTCTCAGATAGGCACTCACCAGCTGCAGAAGAGCAGGCATGAGTGAGCCCAGGGGCCATGACCTGCAGCCCTGCTGCAAAGGCATGTCCCGAGGACTCTCTCCAATCTGCATGAACAGAGATAAGCTCATTTCATCTATAGAAAATTTCAAGATGTTGCTCTCCATTGCCTGCAGCCCAGGTAATTTTTTCAGAGGCTTAAAAAGTCAATTTGGAGTCTCGTAGGAAGTTTGGTCATCTGCAGGAGCCACCATGGAAGCAACAGTGGAAGGACTCCTGGGACTCAATGTTTTCCAGGAATAGTTTCCAAGCAGCATCTTTCATAGGTTGGTGGCCCCAGACCCAAGAAAGAAAAGAAATCCTGTGTAAATCCACAGGAAGGCTGGACAGGCCCTACATGTCAGTCCCTACCACCCCACCCAGCTCTGCCAGTCCCCCATGCTCTAGAGAAAGTAAGGAGCTGACCTGGGGATGCGTCCTCAAACTTCTCTTCCTTGTAGTGATCAACAACTATGTCTGTCTCCACAGAAATCAGCTTCTTCTTGTCAAACTCACGAAGGTGCAGCAAGGTGAGCTCATCGAACTGCTCATAGCAGAAGAGGACCTGCAGATGCCCCAGACCCTCCATCAAGCCCACAGCAGAAGAATGGACAGCCGCTGGGGATGCTGGGGGCTCCTGGACTTGAGTGACATTTTACCCAAAGGTTCTGAGAGAGGCTCTAGCTGTCTTGGCAGCAGAAACACTATTCATACATGAACGTACCCATCACCACCTGTGAGAAACAGTCACTTGGGAGGTGAACCCCTGCCTTGCACCATGTTGCCTTCCAGGCCTAGAGCCTGTTTTCCACTAAGCACAGAGTTGGGGGGTTCACATCTGTCCCTCAGTGTGCCCTGCAGGCAGCCCTGTCCCTTACCCACCTCTGTGTTTTTCTGCTTCATAGCCTCATAGTAGGGTGAGTGTTCGGCCAAGTGCCGGGTGGGGGCACACAGGTAATAGATATTGCGGGTACCGGCCTGCATACGGCTGGCGTAGTCTGAAAGGCTGGCCAGCTGCCCAGCGGGCAGTGCCGAGGACTCGTAGCGCAACAGCTTCGCAATCTCCTCCTATGGACAGATACAGGGAAAGTCATTGCTGGATCCAGGTCCTGGCTCTGAGTGTCTCCTGGTCCATGGGCCATAGCCTTTCTGAAGCCTGGGGTTTCTGGTTCCCTGAGGGCAGCACTCGACTCTCAGACCATCCTTGTTCTGCCCATGAGACCCCATCTGAAGAGCCAAAAGGCCCTCTGGAAGCACCTTCTCCCTCAGGTGCCCCAAGGTCTGAGAGCTGTGCATACCCCATCTAGGAGTGGCCAGAACTTGCCCATGGTAGGCCCTGTTCCTGACCCGAGTCGTTTCACTCTGTCCTCAGTGTCAATCCATGTGGGCACCTGGACATAGGCATGAAGTCCACCTTTTCCTGCCTTCCTCACAGCCAGAAGTGGCTGGGACGAGCTCTGGCAAGTGGGATATAAGTCCCAGCGGGCCTAGAGCAGGAGGAGTAGAGGCAGATGAGACTGCTGGGGTCTGTGTGGGCTGCATTGGAAGAAGGAGCAGCACCAAGATGGGAGTTTGGCCTTTGGTGTCACCAGCCCAGACACTGTCTTATCTAAGCCCTGTCATCTCTAAAAGTCATGGCACAGAAGGGTGGCAGGGAATATGGGAACTTGGGGAAAGAGTACACAGGATACCCTGGGAAAGTTTCAAATGAAAGTGCCATGCCTGGGACTGAGGTAGACAGAGGCAGACACAGAGAGGGAATGACATGGGTCAGGAACCACCTGGCGAGCAGCTGTGCCCACACCCATGGGCACCTCCCGGTCCTCACTGATAAGCTCACATGTGCTCCACATGTATGAAGCACTTGGAAAAGGTCCTCGC